ATAAATAAAAATTATGAAATATATAATATAAAAAAAATTTACATACCACCATTGTGAATACAATGAAAATAGTCACAATTTACAGTATAAAATGTATATAATAACATATATCCACAAGTAGTATAGTCCCAAAATTTACAACAAATACCATCAATCCATCAGTCGATTGTTTAAAAATCAAAATATAATTATTATAAAAAAGGAAACAGACATCGTATAATAAAGAGAATGTAATTCTGATTCATAACCAACATTTTTATTTTTCATAACCAACATTTTTATTTTTATCATATAAAAAGTTATGCTGAGTTCGTATGGGGACTTCCACCGAGACATAGGTTCGAATCCTAGTTAGGCCATGGATGTTTGTGTTTGTATGCATACCTAACCCCGCACAAGTTTCGACTTATGGGGCGTTTGGTCCCAGTGCTGGGACCAACGAGGTATGCAATTGCAAAAAAAAAGAGTGGAATTTATTTAGAATCTTTCGGAGTAGAATTCGTCCAGCGAATAGAATGCTCTCTCTAGTAATATATTTCCCACGGAAATTTTGAATTTTCTTTTATCAGTGATAATTTCAGTTGCATTAGGTAGGTGGTTGAACATTTTCTTTCCGTTCAATATAAAGGATTTTTTCACTAGTGAAGACCTTGGGAGTGGTAACGTTAAACTAAGGGAGGCCGCACATCAAAGAAACATGAAACCTGAAACATGAAGCATGAAACGTGAAACACGTTTCATGAAAATAGAACACGGCCAGAGAAATGGAAGTCCGCCCACTAATGAAACAAGTGTGATGCATGTGCCTAAAACATTGTTATCGTGTTGAAACGTGTTTCATGAAATAGGTCGTGTTCTATTTTTCTGTTTCAGTTGCATTGTTTTGGTCAATTAAATACGTGCGTTTAAAATGAGTAACGACCAAGAATTTAATATTGAGTTTGTTGCTGTTGTGGAGAAGTATGAAGAATTGTATAATTATAACCTGGAGAAGTACTCGAATAGACAGTTACAAGAAAAAGCCTGGCAAAATGTTGCCAATTAGGTAAAATGTTCAGGTAAGCATAAACATTGTTTTTATTCAGTAAATAACATTGAACTGACATAAAAGCAACAACAATGTACTAATATTTTATTTTTAATATGCGAAACCAAAATTTGACAAACTATAATCATTATATTAGCCACTAGTTAGTATGTTTCTTTGATTAGTATATAAAGTGAAACGGTTTCGTTTTTCGCAATTTCCTTGTTTCATGTTTTATGTTTCATGCTTCACGTTTCAGGTTTCATGTTTCTTTGATGTGCGGCCTCCCTAAGGGCTTGTCTAGTAGTGTTTTGTGCAGTAGAATGTACTCTATCTCTAAATTTACTGTGGATGAGCAGGGCTATGAGGCATACAGTTTCCAATATGATGCAATATGTGAATGCACGGTAGATTTTTTGTTCTATGAATAAAGGTTTACAAGAGTCCCTGGGCTTGGCTTTGTTCATGTACCTTATCGCCCTTTTTTGCAAAACAAATATGTCAAGTAAAAAATCACTACAAGATCCCCAAACGCGAATTCCTTATCTAAAAGATGTGAATCAATTACAGCGAAGTAAACTTTTCTGGCCATGTCCCTACCCAGCACCCATGAAGTTGTTTTTACTACAAAACAGCCAGAGGCATTTTTTTCCTATCGTCTTTATATGATCTTCAAAATTTAGCTTATCAATGTAAAGGCCAAGGAATTTGGTTGATTTCATGCTGCTAATTACCTGATTCCCCAGATAAAGTTCTGGCAGATGACCTTTGAAAGTGATTATATTAGTTTTTGCTATGTTCAAAGATAGCATATTTGCATCACACTTTTATCTTGACAACATCCATTTTGATTTGTTGATACAAATTCATTTCATTTCCATTTTTCCATAATAGGGTAGTATCATCTGCAAACTGGGTAAACTTTCCCCTAATATTTATCGAGGCTAGATCATTAATATAGATCAAAAAGAGCAATGGGCCGAGCACAGATCGATACTTTCCGGTCTCCCCCACCCTTTTCCCCTGAGATTTGCTGGAGCGTGAGGTCATCTTCAGTGATATACTCTATGCTCGCCAACAGCCATGAAAGAACCCCAATTTCTGGAAAATGATATAAGGAGGCAAAAAAGGTTGAAAATCACTTCGAATTTCTGAAAACAATTTCAGTTCTGATCATTTCATTTTTGTCTCATTTTTTCATGGGAACATCCCCGTATCTTACGTTATTATCGAGTTAGGATTGTCAAATTTTTAGGAGCAAGAAATATTCCGAAGATACAGTCAATAACCAATCGAAATTACAATCAGTGATATACACTGCTCGCTGGCTGACCTACATGTCCAGAAAATCATATCATTAGACAAGATAGGTTGGAAATCACTGCGGATTCGAGAACAGAAAGCAGAACGTCAAATTCACTAGGTACTGATATTTCTTCTGAAAATTATTCAGTCCCGAAATGATAAATTTGGTCTCACTTTTCATGGAAGCACCCCAGTAGGTATCTTACGTAATTATTGATAAAGGAGTCTGATTTCTTTAGGAGCAAGAAAGAGATCAGTGACCAAGTCAGATCATCTTCAATGATACACTGAACATTTATTGAATCGGCAAATTCACTTAATGGTTGTTCTGAAATTGATAATCATAAAGTCAGTTCTCATGAGGGATAATGAAATGACAATCAGAACTAGTACAATCGAATAGATTATAAGGAGTGATCCAATGGATCAAATGAATTCGCCAATACTATGAAGAAGATGATAACCGATGATAATGCGTCAAAATATGGAAAGTTAGTGAATTGGACGTCCTGTTTTCGAATCCGAAGTGATTTTCAACCTATCTTGTCTCTTGATATTATTTTCTGGACATGTGTGTAGTTCCACGGCTGTTGGTGAGCTGTTTATATCACTGAAGATGACTCCACTTGGTCATAGCGTAAATTTTTTGTATATCTCTCGCTCCAGCAAATTTCAGAATCCTAACCCAACGATTACGTAAGATACAGAGGTGTTTTCATGAAAAGTGAGACAAACATTTTTCAGGAAGAATATGAATAGTTAGTGAATTGGGCGTCCTGATTCCGAATCCGAAGTGATTTTCAACCTATTTTGACTCCTAATATCATTTTCCAAAAATTGGAGTGGTTCCATGGCTGTTGGCGAGCAGTGTTAATCACTGAAGATGACCCCACTTGGTCATAAAGTGCATTTTTCGTACATCTCTCGCTCCAGCAAAGGACCCCGCACGAAAACACGGTAAATTGGCTCTCGGTCGAATTGGCTGAAATTTAACTTTTGTTATTGTTATTTTAGGATGGCTCATCAGAAGAATATGTGAGCTTGAAAAGTTTTGTATGTTTAGTTTCTGAGATATAAGCCTACAAAGTTCGTAAAAACATCGTATCGGGGTAGGATAGACGAAGAAAAAAAAATGTTTTTTTAGTATAAATAAGACAAAATAAGCTAGAAAATGTATTGATCGGAACTCAAATAGATGTCTAGTTATGATCACATCGATTATAGTAAATCAGGGTGTATACGAGGCACGGTCAAAAAAATCATTTTTCGGAAAAAAAAATTCGAGTACTATTCCAAAACCAACAAGTTATATTTTGGTGAGACATTATAGTTTTAGTCTATTGTAGGCTTCGGAAACGTATTTTGATTCTTGATAACTATCTCTGTTCGAAATATGAATTCTTTGAATTTTGTGTTATACCCCTTTTGAAAACAATTGAAAGCTTGTTTTTGATCACAAAGAAAGAGATTGATTGATACTGTTGATTGAATGAAAGCTCAGGAAACTCACTAGCGAATTCAGTTGTTCAATATTGCCTTTCATTTAGATACAGGGTGTGTTAGATTTTGTTGAAGATTATTTAACATGTTTCAATTGAATATCTCGAAAACAGTTCCGTTAATTTGGATCTCATTTTACACACACTATTTTGAATATGTTGACTATCATATGCAAAAAATTCTTCAATTTTTTATGTTTCGTTTCTGAGATAGCAATTTTCGATAGTAATATCCGAGGTAATAACCCCTCTATAATACTTGTAATACTGTAAACTCAAAAATGCATATCTCAGAAACGAAACATGAAAAAACTGAAAAACTTTTTGCATATGATAGTCAACATATTCAAAATAGTGTGTGTAAAATGAGATCCAAATTAACGGAACTGTTTTCGAGATATTCAATTGAAACATGTTAAATAATCTTCAACAAAATCTAACACACCCTGTATCTAAATGAAAGGCAATATTGAACAACTGAATTCGCTAGTAAGTTTCCTCAGCTTTCATTCAATCAACAGTATCAATAAATTCCTTTCTCTGTGATCAAAAACAAGCCTTCAATTGTTTTCAAAAATGGGTGTAACACAAAATTCTAAAAATTCATATGCCGAGCAGAGATAGTTATCAAGAATCAAAATACATTTCCGAAGCCTACAATAGACTGAAACTATAATGTCTCACCAAAATATAACTTGTTGGTTTTGGAATAGTGCTCGAATTTTTTTCGCGAAAAATGAATTTTTTGACCGTACCTCGTATACACCCTGATTCACTATAATTCATAACTAAACATGTTTATGAGTTCCGATCAATACATTTTCTAGCTCATTTTGTTTCATTTATACTAAAAAAACAGTTTTTTTCTTTGTCAATCCTACCCCGATACGACGTTTTTACGAACTTTGTCGGCTTATATCTCAGAAACTAAACATACAAAACTTTTTAAACTCACATATATTTCTAATGAGCCATCCACAACAACATAGTCAAATTTCAGCCAATTCGACCGAGAGCCAATTTCCCGTGTTTTCGTGCGGGGTCCTCAGGATCCTCACCCAACTATATTATGTAAGATACGTGGGTGTTTCCATTAGAAGTGAGACACACTGTATATGGCACAATAATATTGAATTTAATTGCATAACGATTGTTTATCCTTTATTCATACAGATAAGGAATCACACAAATACAACTTGATAAAAGGACTAAAAAAGTTGTTGAATTTTGAGTTTGATCAAATAAGTTGCATATCTACAGGAAGAATGGTCGTCTCTTCAATAACACAAACTTCCCACACTCTGGTATTTTTTGTGAATGGAAAGAAGGTAAGCAATAATATTGAGCTCGATTTCCAGTAGTGAAACACATACTATCAATGGAAATAAATACTGAAAGTCACACAATAAATCATAAAAAGTTGAAACATCATTGGGTTGACCACCAAGGTAAGTCAGGTGGAAATAAGTTTAAAGCGGCTGAAGAGCGCGCTCTATTGTGTCTTTATTATAAGGTACTGCAGTCTGATGATGGCCGATGTGCCGAAACCGGTTACTTTTTAATTGATTAATTTTTACATAAAGTGTGGTCGACTGACTTTGAGTATTTATTTTCATTGAAAATACACTGGACCACTTTGTGTATGAATGATTTCTACGATTTAAACACATACGGAATCATCTCCATTAATAGTTCTATACCGGGTGACACATTATAGAGTACCACCCTCTGAAACTCTTTTATTTTTGACAGTGAAAGGAAAATAAAAAAAAACAGAGTCATCTAATAGTCCTATCATTTTAGTTATTCTGCTTCATAAATCCAGTCATACGCCTATCTTATATAGGTATATGATTTCCGCATAATCCAGTGATCTCTTACTATACCATATTGTCTTGAATTCTGAAAAGTAAAGAGTAAATATATACAGTCTGTCCAAGATAAGGTTGAACAGCATGGGGATCTCGAAAACGGTAGGAGATACGAAGTCGGTTAAATGGAGAAAAAGTTGCGCATTCGGAGGCTCATATCAAGAGCCTTCGAAAATTTTTAAAATTATTTTCAGTTTTTGAGTTATATCGAAAAAAGTTAATTTTTGGAATATCAGATAAGAATCATCTTAAAGAAGCTCTGGATGATTTACCGATTGCGGAAGTTCAGAACTGTTGGTTTCAACAAGATCCGGTACATAATTCCAGAGAAGTCCGTGCGTTTTTATCCAGAAAAATAGATTGGTACTCATTCTACGGTCGCCTGATTTGACACAGCTGGATTTTTTCTTAGGGGATATATCAAAAACTTTGTATAACATTTGTTATGATTGTTTCTGTAGGCATTGTCAAAGTTAAGTTGTTAAAGTAGTTCGTGTAAGAATTCATCAACAATTTTAAGCGCTTCATTGAATGATGTAGTGAAATATTTTTAATTCACTTCTCAGTATTGAATAACTAATCCATCAATGTTTGACACTAAATGATCAGAAATAAGTGGAACTGATGGCACTTTTCCTTTGGAAGTTCGAAAACACATTGATGATGGATAGAAATAGGTCAAAACACATTCGAATCACCTTGTATAATACATGGTTGAATTCGGAATAAAAAACCTTCCAGAATATGTGAAAAAATTATCAGGACCGTATTTAAAAAACAAAAGTTGATGATGGTTCTACGGATACGAAACGTCGCATAAAAAAATCGGTATAACCACGTTAAACGTCATCAAAAGTTGCAACGAAAAAGTATTTTCAGTTCTTCTGTATCTCTAATGATAACGGAGAAAAAAAAAGATATTCCAAAATTCACTTTTTTCGATACAACTCACAAACTAGAAATAATTTTGAGAATTTTCGAAGGCTCTTGATATGAGCCTGTAGTAGGTATCTCCCTGTAATTAGAACTTTTGAAGTTGTCAAGATTATTGAGATTTGTCAAGATATAAAATATAGACTTCAATCAATTCTAAGTCCGATATATTTATTTATACATCCACAAGCCTCCGAATGCGCAACTTTTTTCCCATTTAAACGACTTCGTATCTCCTACTGTTTCCGAGATCCCCATGCTGTTCAACCTTATCTTGGACAGACTGTATACGAGTTTCTTGAAGTTTCCTGACTGATTTTAAAATTCTATTCTGACATTGTTCTGCTTCTAGCTATGATACAAGAGCAGAGCAAACCTGGAATTTAAGTAGGTATCATATGAGCAATTCATATTTTCTATTCGAATCAATATTTCCATTGATCACACTGATTGACCTGTTCACCATAATTGACAATAAACAAAATGGCTGAAATGAATTGAATCGACTTTTGACAGTTGACAACGTTACTTTGCCATAGAAAAAAATATTATCCCCTTGTATCCTGTATACATGTGAGCTTTGTTAAGGTGGTGACATGAAAACGTTGCACAAATAACATCACAACTCTGTCTCAGATATATCTGAACAACCTAAAATCAGCATATTACAATATGATTTAATAATATTGATTTCAATATTGATGCAACGTCTCATAAACGTTCTACTTCATAATATATTATGTTTTGGATACTTCAGAAGGAAATTATCGCAATGTTCTTTCAACAATATCACAAAACTTATATCTGAAAAACATTTTTGTTACGTATCATGTTTAGGTGGTACGTCACTATCTGGGAAGGTATATAGGGAGTAGCAAAAGTATATTAATTTTGAATAGAACACCCTTCATATATTTCCTCACCATTGGAAAGACTTTTCGCAGGTCTTCTGTATTTCGCTATTTATGGGAATTCAAAACTAACAGAGTTTGATCGATTTTCGAAAAAACGTCATGACAATGATTGCTAATTCAGGTATATTCGCTATATCTCTACTTATTATGACATCAATTCTGCGCATTGGCGGTGATCATTGAAAATCAATATTGTAATCATTGTCAAGGCCTACTTTCGGAATACATTCAAAATCGATCAAACTTTGTTAGTTTTGAAAGCCGTTAAATCGGGAAATACGAAGATGAATAAATTTAGGTATGGTATTTTTGGAAAGCTCTTCGGAAGGTATTTTCAATGGTGAGGAAATATATAGGGCGTGTTGTCTCCAAAATTCATGTACTTTTTGCTGCTTTCTGTATGTTATTTCAGATTCTAAAAATGTATTTGTTGTTTCGAGAAGGAGGAATAATGTAATGTCATTTTTTTTAATACTGTCTAAAATAAAAGAGTTTTAGGAGTGGTACTTTTTAACGGTAACCCAGTACAAAATTGAGGCAAAAATATGCATATTTTAGCCAAATTTACCTCCATGACCACCCATAGATAATTCTGCACTTCCTATATTTTTCAACACATAACCATTTCATCGCTAGAAATTTCAAATCTATTTTTATTGCTTATGAAAATAATACTACCCAAAATTGATGCCTACAGTACATCCCATTTTGGTTGAGTGTCAGGTTTTTCGGTAGTAATTGAATGGTTTAATCAGATTTTGCATAGTTTCCGTTTATAAGGTACTGGGCGATTAGACACCTTCTATGTCTATGAAGTTATTAGAAATATTGTTGCGCTAAAAGAACTATGTCTAAGAGAGAATTCTGCAAAATTGGCATTTTACAATTTTGGTAAATAGCATTTTGTTATAGCGTGAAAACTGCATTGAACTGTCAGAACTCGAAATAAACAAATTTGACGAATCTGTTTGTATGAAAGTTCAATATGTGAAGAAAAATAGTGGACTGTTTCATTATTTGTATGTGAAGAGAATGTGATACCATATTAGAATTCCTATGCTTCGACAACCTTTCGGTTAAATATGAATAATTTGATCGGTTTTCCTATAAAGAAATAAAAACGAAAATCGCAAAATACAGTTTTTCGGCGATATCTTCAAAACTTAGGAAGATAGGTCAGATTTATTTTCAGATTATTGATCAACATCAGAATGCGTAAAATTGCACTAATTTGAGCACCATCTTATCTCTAAAGATAACCGAGATCTCCATGCTGAAGCTCGAATTACAGGCACTCTGTCTGTATTTTCTTTATACAGGGTAAGTCAAAAATGTGTACCAAGCTTTCTAGGGGTGATTGAAAAATAAGTATAGTTTGATAAATAAACTTATACCAAAGAAGGGAAGACTTGTATTTCGTGCGAGATAAGTTATTCAAAATATTCGTAGCAGAGCACTTTCGACTGTTAAGACATCATCAGTGCGTACTCGTCAGGTTAACAGGGAAATTCGTCCATAAAAATATCTTTGGCCCAGTTTAAAACTAACGACCTTTAGGTAAAATACGTTACAAACAAATCGAAATGTGTTTCCCAAAAAGGGGTAAAATATGGATTACATTTTGTATAAACTTATGACACAAATTGCATATTGAAAGATCCTTCCAAAGTTGATAGAATTATAGTAATTTCTCCGCATAACTTCTCAACGATGAAAGCCACCTGATTGAAATTTTGTGCATCAATGTATATTGTCGAAATACATTTTTTCCGTCGACCTCCTGTTAATGAGTAAGTTGAATGTTTATGAAATCGTTCATTAATGACCCCTATTAATGATCAATTTGTCTATTAATGCACGATTGTTTTATAGGCAACCAAACATACACCACGTGCATTCATTTTTTATGCTTTACTGAATCTGCATTTAAATCGAACATATGGATTTCATCGAAGATTTTCCGATAACGGGTTCGCATTTCCAATTTTCTGAAACGATTTTTATCCCTGTTTTCTTACACAAGGAATTTATTTCTAATGTTGATCTTTTCGACAATTGCAAATGTCACTAATGTCAGCTACTGGGTGATTCTTAGTAGTTTTCGGATGAATGATGACTTCGCGAACCAAGTTGTCTTCATTGCAGGAGAAATGAGAAATACAGTCGACGGAAAAATTTTGTAACCAACTCGTATATTAAAAGGCGAATAATGATCTCGAACATTAAAATATCTCGATCATTAATCGCCCTCATTAATACACTAGTTGGTTAAATAACTATTTCGTTATACTTTCACATTTCTGATATTGTTATAAAGGGTGTTTTTAGAGGGTGAGTCAGATTTTTTTCCCTGTATCATTTTTGGTGAAAAAAACAGGAGCATTTGATAAAGCGAAGAAAATTACATGAAAAAGGTACTCTTATTCAAATACAAAAAATTCAACTGCTCTCGAGATATTTGAGTTTTCGTAGTTACATGATGTAAGCAGATTAATTCATCGCGAGATTCATCGGTAACGATATTTCAGCAGGCCATGAACAATTTTGTTCTTAATTTTGTCGATAATATTACCTCCCTGTGCCACGTTACGAAGCAATAAGTACATAGCAATATAAGTCTATCCCAACAAGGTTTGAATAAAAATAAATGTTTCAAAATGTCTTTGTACTTTCAATACATAATTTTGAATGAAAAGAGAAAGTTTTCGGTAAAACAAAATCTGAGGTGTTCACGTAAATTATTCATTAAACCGTTCATACATATATTATAGTTTGGTGAACATTTTTTAACAACGTGAATTTATTTACAAATGTTTGCGTCAGCTCCTCAACATAAATACAAAAACTCAAATATCTCGAGAACGGATCAATTTTTTATATTTTAATAGGAGTACCTTTTTATGTTGAATATGATGAAAATCATGACTCACCCTCTAAAAACACATTTTATAAAAATATCAGAAATGTGGAAGTCTAACGAAAAGAATGTATTTTGAAAACATACAATCATGCATAAAATTTCAATCGGGTGGCTTTCATCGTTTAGAAGTTATGCGGAGAAATTATTTTAATTTTATTAACTTTATAAGGATGTATCTCTTTGTTGGGCCATAAGTTTATTTATCAAACTACATTTACTTCTCAATATCACCCCTAGAAAGCTCGGTACACATTTTTGAATCATCCTGTATTGTATTCATGTTCTTTCGTCCTTACTGAGAGGTCTTTCACTTTACACTAACACGAGGTATACTCTATATTACATTTTTGATGGTTGTTTTGAATTTTTTGGTTTTGTTCCACTTGATACGTATCAACAACACGTTTTGTTCCTTCAGATAAGCTGGGCATGAATGTTGTATGTATGTTCTTCTTGAGTTATATTTTGTTTGTTTCTTCGGAAATTTTACGGATAGTAGCTGAGTTGAAGATAGTTTTTGATATGATGGATTTTGTTATTGAAAATGTTTTGGTCAATAATCTGAATATGGCTCTATCATGAAGTGATTTGGTTATTCCTTTCTTGATACTTTTCTGATGAAGATAAATATTTGCAAAGAAGTTTTTAAAAATACCAACTATGGAACTTCGTATTCCATCAAGTTTTGGACTAATAGGTGAAATTGGGCTAGATCCTCATCTAATTTTAGCCTTTGTATTCTGTGACAATTTAAGGGCACCATGTCCCTGTATATCCCAAAACAAGGTCGACAAACTTCGTTTTAAGATTTAAGATTTTGAAGTGGAAGATTATGTGATAAGATTGATTGATTGTAATGTTACATTCCAGGTCGAAGATGGCTGCGTTGATCCGGAAACGACTTTACTATATTATTTGAGAAACAAATGTATCCTTTTTGCTTCAAATATAATGTATAATATAAGCTCTTCGGAATAGTGAGATCAAATCAATCTTTTGAAATAACCCTAGGACGCATCAGATGATTTGCCCCAAAATGCCACGGCGTTTAATAATTTCTCTATCAGAGATCCAAAATTGTTTTCGTATTGTGTGACACTTCTCAGTGACAGACTGATGATATGTTAGCATATGAATGATTTTGGCATACGAATGGGTTACAAAGAAAATTTCACACCACACATTTCCGATCAATTTATAGCCTGTATTTGGTATCGTTACCGTAGCAACTAAACAAATTTCTTGGAAATTTTTTCCTCCTCCTTGGGAGATGGAGCATGACATTACACTGGAAATTTTTTGACGTTTATAGGTTAAATGACATTTACATTCAACTTCAGATTATTGCGAGTTCATTCTATAAGTCAATAAATAAAAATGATGTATCAACAGTTTACCATATAATATTATGTGGGTATACTTGCAAATTTACACAAACGCATATGTTGTTACAATATATATCTAGTTGTTGTTGAAATTCTTTAAAATTGATCGAAAATGTTTGGTGTGAAATTTTCTCACCGAATACCACTTTTCGAACACGAATATTCAGAAAATTTTCAAAATATTCGGGTTCTCGAAAAAATTTCCGGAAATAATTGAAGCTCTCGTGATATTATAAGTGACAATTTTCAAAGAATAAATATTTTGGCATTTTTGGGTTGAAAACGGGAGCATATTTGTTCCCGAAACGTCCAAAGATAAGTAAAAATTCGATATTTTTCCAATATACCTATCTATATTTCTCTTCTTCGAACATTTTCCAAAACAAAGTGCCACTGACAACCGATTAGATTTTTCTTTCATGCAGGATCTATCATTTTGAACGCAGTGGCATTTTGGGGCAAATCATCTGATGATTTGTCCCACTACAAGTATACTGAAATAATACTTATATTTTTATTTTATAGAAACGAGGAGAGAAAATCCCAAAAAATTTGGAATAATGAATGTACCACCTCCTCGATTAACCTACAGACAGTTAAATAACTGTCTGTAGGTTAATCGAAGCTAGTTACAAACATCCTACCCCGATATTTTAAGATATACAGGGTATCCCATAAGTCATGGATCAAAAGAAGGGGGTAGTAGAGGGGGGAGGGGTCATTTCCAGTCAAACTAACTGTATATGTGGTTATCCAATAATTGTTGATGGTTCAAAATTTATTTATTTTTTCTGTACAAAAAATAATTGCAATAAAACTATGTCACATTAGTGATTTTTTCTTTTACAAATTTCATCCACATGGTTGCATCTTTGCCTGAAATAATTTTATGACATGTGTTACTACTACCCCTGTGTTACTACTACCCCACCAATTATAAGAAAAAGTTGCCCATTTAATACAGATTCCGAAATAGTATAACATATGGGGTTATTCAAAACAGCCTTTTTTGTTACTAATTTTTTTCAAATGGGTCGCGTTTTTCAGAAAAATTGAATAACAACTTTTGAACCATCAACAATTTGATAACCACATATACCGTTAGGTTGATTGCAAATCCACCCTGTATATGTTATGTTGTAAATATAATAATACCTTCCTTTTTTGCAACAAAATAATCATATGAGAATATTTACAAACATCAGTAGGTCAAGTTGAACTCACTAATTTGAAGAGCTTTTTATCACAAAGGTGCCAACCTTTATTGAGTGTTATATAACCAACTGCGGGCCTTGAACCTTCATTGAGACCCCCGGTATATATCACTTGACAGTTATAAACAATATATGATACCGTGATTGTTATCATATCGTTATCGCTGGAGCGATTTAATATCAAAATATACTCGTCAATTCAAGGTCAAGAGGTAGGTTATCTATTTTTCCGTCGACCTTTTCGTATTAACGAGTAAGTTTAATGTTTATAAAATCGTTCATTAATGACCCCCATTAATGATCAATTTGTCTATTAATTAATGCACGATTGTTTTATAGGCAACCAAACATACACCGCGTGCATTCATTGTTTTTCTTTCCTCCGAAATTGAGAATTGACATTCTTCTTCAAATCGGATGAATGATATCAAGTTTCAAGTTTATTCTCAGTAATATTATACAAAATCATTCCATATTACATTGTTCCCTTTACAACCCTTTGTGGAGGGATGAATGCACCTAAGCAATTCATTTGCTTGTGTTTATGCTATAACTTACGGAATCTTCATTTAAATCGAAAATATGGATTTCATCGAAGATTTTCCGTTAACGGGTTCGCCTTTCCAAGTTTCTGAAACGATTTTAATCCCTGTTTTCAAACACAAGGAATTTATTTTCTGTGTTGATCATTTCGACAAATAATGTCAAATGTCACTAATGTCAGTAACAAGGCTACTGGGTGATTCTTAGTAGTTTCCGGATGAATGATGAATTCGCGAACCAAGTTTTCTTCATTGCAGGAGAAATGAGAAATATAGTCGACGGAAAAATTTTGTAACCAACTCGTATATTAAAAGGCGATAAATGATCTCGAACATTAACGCGCTCGCTTCGCTCGCACGTTAAAATATCTCGATCATTAATAATCGCCCTCATTAATACACTATTTGGTTGAATAACTATTGTTTGCACTTGAACTAATTAATGTATCCGTTAATTTCCTTAATTACCTCCCTCCAGTACGACTAATTGGAACGAAACTTGGATGTGCTGAGGGTGGATGTGGTGCCTGCACTGTTATGGTGTCCAAATATGATAGAAAATCCAATAAAGTCATGTATCCTTTGAGTGTTAATGTTGTGAAAAACTGTATAGAAAATCAGAATGTACAGGGTGGGCCAAATTGGACACTTTCAAACGGAAAGTCCTATTACCAAACTATACCTTTTCAACTTCAATTTCGGAATTGGTAAGTTATATTTCGGAAAAAGTAATCTCGATTTCAGAATTGGTTAGTTCGATTTCAGAAATGGTAAACTCAATTTCAGAATTGGTGAGATGAATTTCAGAGGAAGTCCATTCAATTTCAGAAATGGTAAGTTGTATTTCAGAATTGGTAGGTTTAATTTCAGAAAATAAATCCTTATATTTGTTTGACATGTTTCCAATTGCATGTGAGATTAACAAACCATATTTACAATATTCAACTTTTCAAAAACAATTCAATAACATAATTATAATCTCAATTTGATCCACAGATGTCTTCCATCCGAATCGCATCAGAAGGATAGTAGCGTTGCACATGATTATAAGAGTGCAAACACATCGCAGTCTGAATTCTATCTGGTTGAGCAATCTGTTCGGATCCCCAGCTATGATCCTTTGGCGATGCTCTTGCAAAAAGCTCTTCACTTCTGACTTGAAGGCACTCCATATTATGTTCAATCGGATTGAAAATAGGGCTGTGAGGTGCCAATCTGTAAAATATAACATCTTGAAATTCTTTCTCCATGCATATCTCTTCTATTCTTGAATGTGCAGGTGCATTATCCAGAACTACCACTATGGTATCTGCAGAATGCCCATTTCAAACGCACACTCTCAAACACCGTTCCATCCACTGTAAACAATCCTCTCTTTTGCAATAATTGAAAACATTTCAAACATATATAGGGAATCATCTTCTGAAATTGAACCTACCAATTCTGAAATACAACTTACCATTTCTGAAATTGGATGGACTTTTTCTGAAATTCATCTTACCGATTCTGAAATTGAGTTCACCATTTCTGAAATCGAACTAACAAATTCTGAAATCGAAATTACTTTTTCCGAAATATAACTCACCGATTCCGAAATTGAAGTTGAAAAGGTATAGATATACGAAAACTGATGTCGTTGTCTGATGGTCAATTTTTATGACAAACTCAATGGTGGAAACTGCACATCGATATCTGTCATCGTTTCTGAGTTACAGCATGTTTTCCGAAAATGTGCATTTTCGAAAACTTGCTGTAACTTTTTTCCTGTTGAAAATTTGTTGTTTCTATGAAAACATTTCTGAAGCACTTTTTCACGTAGAGTACATATCTGCATATTTCAATAGAGCTTGAAATCACCAATCCAAAAATACAGCACACTTGATATTTTATTGAAGTCTTTTTTGAAATACAGTGCTTTTAAGTTTTTAGATGCGGCAATTTTTTTTCATCTCTTGGAGCGCACGAAAGGAAATTCTCATAGTCTTCGTGGAGCATCGTGCGTTCCTATAGGGAAGATAGGGAGAGAAGGTAGGTGTTGGAATTTTCTTGGAACTTTTGAAGGTTATAAGTTTTTGGGAATACTTTCATTGGCAAGGAATTCCAAAGCTGTCAAGTTTTAAGAAAGCTGTTCATAACAGTAATTAAAACTCATTTGTTCAACACAACTGAACTGAAAACAATTCAAACCCTATTTAAAAATGATGAATAAACTTCACCAACAATAATAAAGAACGAACAAAAACAAAATATTCCTGCAGAGAAGGTGTTCGAAATGTCGACCAGCTTCTCCTACGCACAGGCGGCAACTTTTCTAAACATGTCTTGCCGCATTGATAAGTTCAATGGGGAGTGAGAGAAGCAAAACTCTGCAGCACTACCGCTTCCAATTCCTGTCTAGAGTGGGTCGGCAATTTAAAAATTAGATCTTTCATCCATCCCCAGAGGTAAAAGTCCATAGGCGTAAGGTCCGGTGACCTGGCTGGCCAACGGTTGGGACCTTGGTTGGCTACCCAACGGTTGGGACCTTGGTTGGCTACCCAATTATTGCCAGAATTCGCTGCTAAAAAATTTTGGACGATTGCAGTGTTGTGAGGGGGAGCCCCGTCTTGCTGAAAATATATTTCCCTGAACTCCATTAGCGGCAATTCGTCAAGAAGGGGTATCAAGAAGGGGTTCTATTTGATTCCTTAAAATTTCCAAATACCTCTGAGAGGTGAGAGTGTCATTATAAATATACGGGCCGATAATTCTACCCCTAAAAACACCTGCCCATACACTAAATCCAAATCTTCCTTGTATTCTCTGCTCCACAATAGAATGAGGATTCTGTTGTGCCCAAGTATTCGAATTGTAGCGGTTAAAAATACCGGCACTGCTCACATAAGCTTCGTCTGTCCAAATACAATTTAACGGAATATCACGCACTCGGTTACAATTCTCTAGAAACCATTGGCAGAAATTCATGCGGCGTTCAAAATCTCCTGGTATGAGGTGATGAATTTTTCTGGTCCTGTATGGCTTGAATTTGTGCTTTCTTTCAAAGTCCGTCTAATGCTACTTCTTGGTAGGCCTCTTGTTATTTCCAAATTTCGTGTTGAAGTTCTGGGATTATTTTCAACAGCTCCTAAAACAACTATTTCTTCCAAATCCCTATCCCTATTTGGTTCATATACTTTTGACCTTTTCTTCTCGAATTGACCTTCCTCAATTAGGTTGCGACGCAATCTCGCATAAATATCTCTAGATGGTTGTCTTCTTTCTGGATACCTCTCGTGGTACAAATCGTTTGCTGCTTCTGCATTTTCCCCGATTTGTATAAAACAGACTATCATATATCCCATTTTTCATAATTTTCAAACTTCATTGAAAATGTAATTGTGAACTGAACGAAAACCACGAGCGTCTTTACTGCTCTAATATTACTTTTATCATAATTTGACAGCACAGTAAACATTCGATTTGTATTTTATCACCGCGTCGTCCGAAGCTTACTTGTTCAATATGTGCGTTTCAAAGTTCAGATGTGGAAACCAAAAAAGCTCTGCATCTTAAAAAGATGACTTCAGTAAAATACCGAATATGCTATATTTTTGGAATGGTAATTTCAAGCTCTATTGAAATATGCAGAAATATACAGGGTGTCCCATTTGTAAAAATATTTTTCCGTTATTAACTATTGATATATACTTTGAAAAAATAAATTACTTATACCATTGAATCCTACGTGAAAAAGTGCTTTGGAAATGTTTTCATAGAAACAACAAATTTTCGAAAGGAAAAAAGTTACAGCAAGTTTTCGAAAATGCACATTTTCGGAAAACATGCTGTAACTCAGAAACGATGATAGATATCGATGTGCGGTTTTCACTATCAAGTTTGTCATAAAAATTGGCCATCTTTCCCTTTGAAAGTGTCCAATTTGACCCACTCTGTACAGCAAACAGTAGCTGTAAGTACTATGGAAGTAATTTAGCAACTAGAATCCGCATGCGATGTACAAAAATACCTCTGCAACATCAAGTACACATTTCAATAATTGTGTTGTTCAAATTGAGATTTGAAAAAATAGCCCAAATGAAACATACATCCGTATAGTCATTGTGGAAATTTTTGAGACAATGAATGTCTCTTTAATAACCACATTGGACCTATTCATGCGAGGATTCTCTGAGACTTCTCCATTCTATTCCCTACTTTGATATGGTGATCTTCTCGAATAGACTTCGTCCCGTTCCATCTTGGATTTTTTTTACAAAGCAAAGTCTCAAAGTAACCACGTTCAGCACAAATATGCATAATCAAAATGAAAACATATTCCAATTTGGAATGGACAAAAGTAAAGTATTTTTATGTGCATTCAGAATCTAGTAATAGAAAATGCTAAAAAGTATTGTTAATCAAAAAATGTTACATGAACTGGTATTCACCCTGTATTTTATTTTTCTAAATGGTGGATAGCTCCTTCTTCTGATTTCAAATATATTGATGAGGTAATCTATGTCAGTTTTCGAAAAACATAGATTCTAATAAGGCAACTGTAATAACCCCATGTAATAACCCTAGAAATTGCAACATTTTCGTCTGGCGTTGAACAAAAGATAACCTCAATAAATTATAAACCTATATTTGAAATCAGAAGAAATAGCTCTACCGTTTAAAAAGAGAAAATACAGGGTGTTCTTTTCAGGTAACGATGTTTCTTTGCATTTTCTGGTAAGTATACCTACTACATTCTGCATGCCCATAAAAAAAGAACGTTTCTGTAGGACCAATATCAACTGAGATAGCTATTGAGTAAAATATGAATCGTCCTGTACTTATAATTATTATTTCCCAGATATTCAACTGAAACCGAAACTTACTACAACAGAGTCAACATGACAAATACGCCAAAGGACCACGCACTAAATTATAGGAAAAATGGCTCTCGATGAAAATCGCTGAATTTTTGGAATGTTTCAGACTTTGATATACTGAACAGATATTCCATTGAACGAACCTCAAAAAATGGACAGTTTTTCCGATATTGAGTTCCAAATGTCAGTTTTAAGAGAAAAAAAGTATCTGAGAATGGTTGCATTTTTGGCATGTTGTAGATAGGAATGAACTGATGAAGAAATCCAATTGACCTAACCTCCAAAAATTGACAGTTTTTATCGATATTGACCTCCAAATGCAATTTTTTCAAGAAAAAAAAGTTCTAAAAGTGGCTGAATTTCTGGTATGTTGTAGATAGGAATGAACTGATCAAAAAATCCAATTGACCTAACCTCAAAAAAGTTTTTGTTCACTGTCGCAAACCGTTTTCTCTTCAGATCTCTTTACATATTGTAAATATTTATTGAAATTCACGATATTGCGGGACAACGCGTGATGACATCATATACCGCGATCAATCCATTGCAATTATACTATTCGATACAATTTATGTATTGTGAATACTTCAGTACATAAAACCTCAATTCTATGAAGAATTTGGAAATATTCTCATTGGTTGTTGAGCAATAAAAATCTTGAAGTGTTTATCGGTATCGGTATGTCAATGTCACGTCATCGGCGGCTATATAGTGTTGCTGAGAGGTGATTATGAATGAATGAGTGTATCGAATACTTTTATAATAGATGGAATGATCAAAATAAAATTGATAAATGGCATAAATTCGACAAGTGTTTACACCTACAACCCCATTGATTTCGGAAAGACTGTATAACCATTCCTTTTCAACGATATCCCTGAGTTATTAGACAACATTTATCGACCTATGCTCTCGCAATTTTTTCAAGTCAGCATGATTTTTTCCGTTATAGAAAGAGAATTTTATCCGATAAAAAAGCGTTGATGAAATAAATAAATATCAAATAATGATCTTGATAAACTCTGTTACTGAATAATTCTTTAACTGGACTTCAGACACCTACCAGTTAACGCTTGTTTAGCCCCAGTATGCGCTATGCACGGCTTAGCAGTCACCACCGTAGAAGGAATAGGCTCCACCAAAACCAAACTACATCCGGTTCAAGAAAGGATCGCCAAAGCCCACGGTTCCCAATGCGGATTTTGCACCCCCGGAATGGTAATGTCCATGTACACTCTGCTGAGAAATTCCCCCAAACCAACCATGAGCGAAATAGAAGTGGCTTTCCAAGGCAACCTGTGTAGATGTACAGGTTACAGGCCAATCATAGAAGGTTACAGAACGTTCACAGAAGAATGGGAACGAGCTCAAAACATCAACAAGATATCGCCTACCAATGGAGTTTGTGGTATGGGAGATCAATGTTGCAAACTCCAAAACGGTAATAAAGAAACAGCAGGTGACGAAGAAGTTCTGTTCAGAACAAGTGAATTCACCCCTTATCATCCATCACAGGAACCACTCTTTCCCCCAGAGTTAAAATTATTCGACATATACGACAAACAGTTTCTTGTGATAAGAGGACAAAACATAACTTGGTATAGACCAAATACATTAAGCGAACTGTTGAAGTTGAAACAAAGTTTTCCCAGCGCACGCATCGTCGTTGGGAACACAGAAGTTGGGGTTGAAATGAAATTCAAGCAATTGATTCACCCAGTTATAATTCAACCTACCCAACTTCCAGAGATGAATGCCATCGAAGAGACTGAAAAAGGCGTCAAGATTGGGGCATCAGCCACATTGAACGACATACAATCTTTCTTGAAGCAGCAAATGGGGGTGCACAGCGAGCACAAAACGAGAATTTTCCGAGCTGCTGTGGAAATGCTGAAATGGTTCGCAGGCAAACAAATACGCAGCGTGGGGGCACTTGGTAGCAACATCATGACTGGCAGTCCTATATCAGACATGATTCCCCTTCTATTAGCTGCACGAGCTGAGCTGGAATTCCGCAGTAGGGACAGGGGAGCAAGAAAAGTGATACTCGACAACAACTTCTTCATTGGCTACAGAAAAAGTGTGGCGAAACCAGATGAGGTTTTAATGTCCATCTTCATTCCTTTCACTACAAAACACCAGCACTTCAAAGCATACAAGCAGGCAAGGAGAAGGGAGGATGATATTGCCATTGTAAATGAAGCTGTCAATGTAACGTTCCAACCAGGAACTAACATAATAGCTGATATAAAGTTTGGATTTGGCGGCATGTCCTTCAAACCAGTAACAGCTCCAAGAACCGAGAAGAATCTGAAAGGCCTGCCTTGGAATAGAGATACGCTGGAGGTAGCTTACAATAATTTATTAGAAGACCTGCCCCTTGATCCTGGTGCTCCAGGAGGAATGGTGCGATATAGAAGATCGCTTACCATGAGCTTGTTCTTCAAAGCTTTCCTCGCTATATCACAGGAGCTACAGAAATATATTCCAAACATTGAACTGCACCCGACTGAATTGAGCAGCATCGGAGAATGTACTTACAATGAATTGAAAAGTTCCCAGTATTTTACTGTTGTACCTGAAACCCAAGAAAAAGATGACTCACTCAGAAGACCAATTATCCACACGTCTGCTTATAAACAAGCAACGGGTGAAGCTATTTATTGTGATGATATTCCCCGAATAGAAGGGGAATTATATTGCGCCTTTGTTCTTAGTACCAAACCGCACGCAAACATAACCAAAATTGACGAAACCCAGGCATTATCCATGGAAGGAGTGCATGGGTTCGTTTCTGGCAAAGATATTGGTAAAGCCTTCACTTGGGGAGTCGTTGAACACGATGAACACGTATTCTACTCTGACACTGTCACTGCCCAAGGACAAATAATAGGATTAGTTGCAGCGGAAACTCAGATGATCGCACAAAAAGCTGCTAAGGCAGTGAAAATCGACTATGAAGAATTGAAACCAGTGATAATAAGCATAGAGGACGCCATCAAGCACAAATCTTTCTTTAATTATTCTAGAACAATGCTGAGAGGGGATGTGGAACGAGTATTCAGGGAGGCACCTAATGTCCTCGAAGGTCAATGTAGGCTGGGGGGTCAAGAACATTTTTATTTGGAAACCCAAGGGTGTATAGTGATCCCGAAACCAGAAGACGACGAAATTAAAATTTACTCTTCAACCCAGAACCCGACAGAGATATCAGTAAGCGATATTCCACGTGAACTTCTCCAGCACCTGATTATAATCTGCTTTGTTTTCACAGAGAATGGTCAGCCAGGCTCTAGGCATCTCAGAGAACAAAGTTATTACCAAAGTTAAGAGACTGGGAGGAGGTTTCGGTGGCAAAGAAACCAGAGGATCATTGCTGGCTTTGCCCTTAGCAGTAGCTGCCAGAAAATTCAACAGACCTATGCGATGTATGTTGGATAGGCATGAGGATATCATGATGACAGGCACCAGACATCCCTTTCTTTATAAATACAAAATAGCCTTCGACGAGGAGGGTAAAATTCTTGGATGTGATGCTGAGCTTTATAGTAACGCAGGATATGCAGCAGATCTTTCACTCTCAGTGAGTACGAATAATATAATTAATGATTTAACCCATTACCTGCCACGGATATTTTTTCCATTAATTCATAGGTTTATATACAGGCTGACTGACAAAAAACGCCCCAAGCCATAGCGCCGCTATTTATTATCCGATTTTGAAAAACAAAAGAGCAAATGAAATGATATATCAGATACTACAAGCTGGCACTAACAATTTTTTTTTTCCAACTCTAACGACGCCGATTGTTAATTTTTTTTTTCGAATGGAAACATATATTTTTCAATTTTTTTTCAGATAGAGATTTTTTTTTGAATACAATCATGTATAACAAGTTGATTTTTGCACAAAATTAGTTGACAAAAATCAATTCTCCGCCGACAAGAAATGGGTCTTTTCATTACATTGTCTATCGAGTCATTGAACGTAGAGTCCGTCACTTATACAAAAAAAGACATTACAATGTTAGAAAAATAATGATTATTTGAAAACAAAATATCTTAGGAAACTGCAAGTATTGCTCAAACTGGCCCCCGCCCTTTTGAACACATAGTTCACACCTTCTAATTACACCATGAGTTGCGTTCCAGATAAAATTAGGAGGTATTTCACGACAAACTTCAATGATTCTCTGCTGCAAAGTTTCTAAATTTTCTGGACGTGATAAACTCGATCTTTAAGATACCCCCACAACCAAAAATCAAGTGGCGTGAGATCGGGTGATCTTGGCGACCATTGAAACTGGTCCATAAGTCCCTATCCATCTTTCAGCAAATGTAGCATTCAACCAATTAACATTTATTTGGGCATTATGAGTAGGGGCTCCGTCTTGTTGAAAGTAAATTCTGTTCAGATCGGCAACTGGCAACTCCTCCAAAAAGTGATCGATATTTTGATGCAATTATTGGTGATATCTCTGTTGATTTAGTGCGCCATCTATAAAAAATGGACCAATCAATCTATCGCACCAAATACCGCACCACACATTCACACTGAATCTATTTTAAAAATTCGTTGGAACGGTAATTTTTGGATTTTCTTGGCTCGAATAGCGGTGGTTGTTTTCTATTGAAACTGCCATTATTAGTGAGTGTACACTCGTCGGTCCAAATAATTTTTCTATAAAACGTTCGATCTTGTTGCATCGCATTCAGAAAATGCCTGCAAAATTGTTCCCTTCGATCTCGATCATTTTCTACTAGTGCTTGTACTTTTATGGTTTGAATTTGTGCTTCTTGAGTATTGCTTGCACGGATTATTGCGAAGCGCCAATGTTATTAGCAATTTCTCGAGTAGAAGTCCTTGGGTTTTCTTCTACACTAAGAAGAACTTCAAATTCGACATCCTCATCAAATTGACGTTCCTTTCGTTTAGGTTTCTTGAGTGCTCCGTAGTTTCTCAAATTTCGTTCTAGCCTAGCAAATTTACGACGATCTGGAACTTCTCTGTCAGGAAATCGGTCAACGTATAATCGCAATGCTTGACCACTATTTCTACCGCATTCAAAGTACGTTTGTATCATGTCGGTCAGTTGATTATTATTCATATTTCGTTTTATTTTGAAGAATGAATATCTTGAGCTGTTTGAAAATATGGAACAAATGTCACACTGACAGCTCATGGCCATAGTTGATTCTGAGACATCTACTGCCACTTCAATGACTCGATAGACAATGTAATGAAAAGACCCATTTCTTGTCGGCGGAGAATTGATTTTTGTCAACTAATTTTGTGCAAAAATCAACTTGTTATACATGACTGTATTCAGAAAAAAAAATTCTATCAAAAAAAAAATTGAAAAATATATGTTAACATTTGAAAAAAGAAATTGACAATCGGCGTCGTTAGAGTTGAAATTTAAAAAAAAAATTGTTAGTGCCACCTTGTAGTATCTGATATATCATTTTATTTGCTTTTTTGTTTTTCAAAATCGGATAATAAATAGCGGCGCTATGGCTTGGGGCGTTTTTTGTCAGTCAGCCTGTATATGAGGCGATATGAAGAAAAATCTTTCTTTCGTCCTTTATAGGTCATTTTTGAGACGTCATTTGGATGTTTGAATATGACGTCTTTTGACTGTGACATTTTGACGTCATTATAGGATCTCTCAGACGTTATTTCAGGACGTCCACTTCGTCATTTTCTGACCAAAAAATGACGTCAATCAAACGTGGCCATCTACCAGATACTTTTACCAAATGTTTCTCAAAAATGTTCCTTTCGACCATATTTCCACCACCCAAATTCATTTTGTGATACAGATAATGGACAGAGCCCTCACGCATTTCGAGAATGCCTACAACATACCCGTGTGCAGGGTGATAGGCTACGCTTGTAGAACCAATCTACCATCCAACACTGCCTTCAGAGGGTTCGGAGGGCCACAAGGGATGTATCTTGCCGAAAGTATGGCTCAACACATAGCGGATCATCTGAAAAGGGATCCTGCTCGTATAAGAGAGCTCAATTTGTACAAGGAAGGGGATGTCACTTTCTATAATCAGAAGTTGGTCCACTGTACCCTTGAGCAATGTTGGCGACAGTGCATGGAGTCTTCAGGGTATCATAAGAGACGAGAGATGGTACGGACATTCAATGGGTAAGCTTTTATTTGATCTCTATTTGAAACAAAATCACAATTTTCCTTTGAGAGTCCAGTTGTCAAACGAACCATGAACAAACTTCGGAATTTCTGAATACTTTCGGAGATATACGAAAAAACCCATAGTTTCCTATAAACTTTCTTATTTTTATTTCCAAGTTATTCGAAGAAGTTCATCGAAATGAACTTCATTATGACCACTTATTCTTCCCTACAAGTTGGCATTTCCAAATTTGCCATTTGACATTTCCGTATTTTTTTAGAATACGGTACTGGATCATTCATTTCATTTTTTTACACTAATGGATGTATACCAAAAGCAATGATCTATCACGAATTTTTATTTTCAAATGTGTCATTTACAAAAATTTACAGTTTCGTATTGGATTTAAAACAATATACAGAATATGTCAATTTTTTTAAACGCGAAACATTCGAAAACAAATATTTGTGATCACTAATAGTTTCTGGGATATCCAGAAGTGTGAAACAAATGAAACAATCAAATAAAATATGCATGTCCGTATTTGAAAAGAAATTGATGATCGTTTCTGGATCTGGAAGACAAAATGAAGAAGGTTTTAGTAAAGGACCCCGGAAATTGAGTCCCGGTGGATTTTTGTTCATATGATTCTATATAGTTATTTGTTTAATTAGGCAGCAAAGTAGTAGATTGACTGCCGAAGCTGAATTCATAGCCGAGCGTAGCGAGGCTAGGAATCCAGCTAAGGCAGTCAATCTACTTTGCTGCCGAGTTGAACATATAATTTTTTCTCCGATTGTTCATAATAACTAATATCTCTTTATTTTTCCTGTAGTGTTCAATTAAAATAAAATTTGATAGGAATCGCAGTTGTTGGAATGGTTGGTTGCTAGTTGCTATGGAAGTGTCCATAGGACAGTGACAGCGACCTGGAAGTAGTTACACCTCCAGAAATAAGGGAGGTGGCAAAAAATATAATTGAATTTGTTGCCGTAGAAGTCTCGGATGAAATATGAAGGAAATTATAAACGATTTATGGATTATTAATTTTGCTGATACATATCAATCAGCAAAGTAACCACTTTGCTGCCTAGGCAGGAAAAGTAATACTTTGCTGATTGATATGTGTCAGCAAAATTAATATTTGCTGCCAATCGGAGAAAAAAATATCTTCATCGAGGCAACCCCCAAAAATGGACAGTTTTTTGCCAGGGGGGTTGAATTCACATTTTGATCGAATAGGAATACAATATTGAAAAAAGTTGTCTTTCTATTTAGAATCAAATGGTAGTCTATTTACTACATCAAAAATTCAGCGAAATCAACCAGGTTTTTTTCCATTTGCACCCCCATTTGGTAGTGGGTAATACTGCAAAAATGCGGTGTCCATAATTATCCGTGATAAAACATTTCCTATCACTTTTGACAGTTAGATGGAATTCTTTTTTTTTTTTTCGGTTCTCAAAATTGGGGTTGGGGGCAATCATTTTTCCCCTATTATATTTTTTTCGTGAAGGCTCTATTTTCAGAAGTAATTGAATCGTTCAATTTCTCAGAAATAAATGGTCAATTCTATCAAAATGTGAATTCAAACACCCCTGGCAAAAAAACTGTCCAATTTTGGGGGTTGGGTCAGTAAAAATATGTTATAGAACTACATAAACTACATCATACTAAAAATTGAGGAAAATCCACTGGGACCCAATTTACCTTAAAAATTTGCGGGGTCCTTTACTGAAACCTTTTTTATTTTGTCTTCCATATCCAGAAACCATCATCAATATATTTTCAAATACGACGGACCTGAATATTTTATTCAATTTTTTCATCTGTTTCACACGTTCGGATATCCCAAGAGCGCTATGAGTGATCACAAATTTTTGTTTTAGAATAATGTTTCGCGTTCACAAAAATTGACATTTTCTGTATATGTTTTTAAATCCAATACGAAACTGTGAATTTTTGTAAATGACACATTTCGGTTCGTTGCTATATCTTCGAAAGTATTCGGAAGTTTCAGAATAGCATATTGTTAGGCATAAAAAACCGACCCTGTATCTCTTCCGGTTTACAAGATCCCAATGATGAGGCTCGAATTCCAGCCACCCTGTAGGAACCCTGCTTTTCAGTTGCTACTTGGTTTTCGGTATTGTTAAGAGGAGAGTTTCAACCAAATCGACATGCAGGCCTGCACTAGTTGTTGCTATTTGGGCTTATGAATGATTCAATTGAAAAACTGATTAAATCATCGTAAAGAAGAAGGTTGAGACTAGGGCCTGGTTATCATACGGAGTCGAAACTCATTTATTTATAGAAGATACAGATTTTTGAAAAACGTAAACATTGAATTTTTTTTGTCTCAAATTGAAATATTTTCGATCTCAGTACAATTGTTGGAAATTCAGCGAGAAAGACTACTCATGAAGACAGTTTCAAAAATGACTCATGACATAAATTTTCATTGTAGCGAGATATAGGTATTGCTTGACTTGAATGGAGTGAAAAGTGGAATCATGTTGAGCAGGCCCGTGGAGCAGTAGCTCTGGCAACACTGCACGTACATAATACAATTACCTACGATTGCATTCAATTGTGTGCCACCTATTGGTGACCTGCTGTAACAGACGAAATCGAAGAACTCTACAATAGCTGTGAAAGCTGTAATTTAATTATTTTATTCCGATTTCGACATCACACTGACACCTAGAAATAGTTGTTGAACTAGTATATATATATAGGCTATATTCGGTCGGAAAGCTGTCGCGAAAGGCCCGTCTTAACGACAAAGTTCAAATCACCCCGTAAATGAATAAATCGCCTAGAATGCCATATCGCAAGCCAGTGTTTCATCTCATTCGTCATCAGAATGCGGTCATGTTGAAGCATCAGAACGCGGTCCCGTTGAAGCATCAGAACGAGTTAGTCATATGTACAGGGTGGGCCAAATTGGTCACTTTCAAAGGGAAAGTCCTATTAAAAGAAAACTGATGTCGGTGCCTGAGGGTTGATTCTCATGCAAAACCCAATGGTGAAATCCGCATATCGATATCTGTATTCGTTTCGGAGTTACAAGGTGTTTATCGAAAATGGGCATTTTTGAAAAGTGGACACAAATATTTTTTTTGGCAAAAATTGTAAGTTCTCATCATTTCTGAGGCACTGAAATCGGCCTACCTATATCTTGTTCAAGAATATAACTTGATGTTCTTCTTGAAGGAAAAGTTCTATTTCGAAACTAGGTATATTATGACTGATTTCAGTGCCTGAGGATCAATTTTCATGATAAACACAATGCTTTGGAATAGTAATTTTCCTAACGAGTGCGGAAAGTAATACTTTCCCGCACGTGAATGCCGTTGATCCGAAAGACGCGAAGCGGAGTTCGGGCAAGCGTCGGAAATTGATTGATTTGTTCAATCAATTATTCCTGTGAATAGGAACAACTAACAATAGTGATATATTCTCTATCTTCTAATAATTAGTGATATATCTATTGTGTGTACCGTGTGAAGCATTATGTAGGTAAGCTTTTTGCGGAAGCCAGCATGCCCATGGTGTCTGGCCTCTAGGTTTCAGACATTTCTAGGAAATGAGCCAAAAATACTTCTTCTTTATCTGGTGTTTTCTTTTTTTACTATTGCACGATTCAATAAATCACGTGTAGTGCTTCTCATACATTTCTTAAGACTTTGTTGGCAATAACTCATCTGTATCGCATCTGTAGCTGGAAGTTTTTCAGCGCAATTCCAATGAATCGACCACATAACTTTCATAGGACTTCTACAATACAGAAATCTCTGACCTCGTTTATTGTGGGAGCAAAGTTAAATTTCCTTCAGTGCATCAAACATGAAACCTCACACATGGAGGAATATTAATTCTTCATACTCTCATGGTATACAAGGTGTCCCAGAACAAAGTATTATGGATTCTACAGGGAGAACTATAGAAACCAAAAGAACTCTATATGGAAATGCACCGTTGAGCCGTAAGCGATGAAGAACGATTTAATTCCCAGATTTTTTTACTATTTCGGAATCCTGAATTTGGTTATTCATCTCGAAAACCAAGGAGAATAATAAAAAAACTGCGGTTAGAGAAAAGTGAGAAATTGATTTTGGTATTCTTTGAAATTTCGAAATGTGGTTAGTGCCATACTCCAGAAAGTTAGATTAAGTTTTATCAACAGTAAAAACACAAGAGCTTTGTTTTATCGGATAAATTTCTCTTCGTAACGAAAAACATTTGCCGATCAGTAATTTTACGAGAAAAACTGACCTATACGGTCTCGCAATTTTGTCTAATGTCAGTTTTTCGAGAGAAATAACTGATGGAAAATGTTTGAGTTAGTAAGGTTCATCCAATAAAAAAAAGTTTGAGTGTTTTTTGGCAAGATAAATCAACGACAATATACAGTCTGTCCAAGATAAGGTTGAACAGCATGGGGATCTCGAAAACGGTAAGAGATACGAAATCGGTTAAATGGGGAAAAAGTTGCGCATTCGGAGGCTCATATCAAGAGCCTTCTAAAATTTTGAAAATTATTTTTAGTTTTTGAGTTATATCGAAAAAAGTGAATTTTTGGAATTTCTATTTTATTTTTTTTCTCCGTTATTATTAGAGATACAGCAAAACTGAGAATACGTTTTCATAGCAACTTTTGATGACGGTCAACGTGGTGATACCGATTTATTCATGCGACGTTTCGTATTCGTGGAACCATCATCAACTTTTGTTTTTTAAATACGGTCCTGATAATTTTTTCACAGATTCTAAAAGGTTTTTTATTCTGAATTCAACCATGTATTATACAAGGTGGTTCATTTGTGTTTCGACCTATTTTTGGCCATCATCAATGTTTTTTCGAAACTTCAAGGGAAAAATGCCATCAGTTCCACTTATTTTGAAGGAAAATTAGTCAACACACTAATACCTCATCAACTGGTTTCAATCAACAACCCATTTCATTTTGCGGAAACAAAAATTCCATCCATACAAATTCAGAATATGTCAAGCGCTAAAACCAGGCGATGACGAAAGGCGCAAGACATTCTGTGAGTGGTATACCAGGAAATGTTAAAATTCTGCAGATTTCTTTCGAACAATCATCTGGACTGATGAAAGCATGGTCACTAATCATGGTAGCTTCGATAGAAAAAATCCACATTATTGTTCACGAGAAAATGAACATTTATACATTACAGCGAGACACCAAAACCGTTTCGGCTTTAATATGTGGGTTGCAATATTTGGTACACGAATTATTGTTCCTTCTATTTACCATGAAACACAGACTTCCGAACGTTATAGAAATTCGCTTGAGAATCATCTTGAGGAAGCTCTGGATGATTTACCGATTGCGGAAGTTCAGAACTGTTGGTTTCAACAAGATGGCGCTCCGGTACATAATTCCAGAGAAGTCGGTGCGTTTTTATCCCTTGGCCGGCGCGGTCGCCTGATTTGACAAAGCTGGATTTTTTCTTAGGGAATATATCGAACTTTGTACTCGCAAATAACTTTGATGATGAAGAAGAACTAAGGGACCGTGTCTTCGAAGCATTCAATAGAATAACCCCAGAAATGCTTAGCAATGTCTTTGAAGCAACTGTGAGAAGAGGATATCTTTGTTCAGAAAATAATGGTTATCATTTTGAACATTTGTTATGGATGTCTCTGTAGGTATTGTCAAAGTTAAGTTGTTAAAGTAATTCGTGTAAGAATTCATCAACAATTTTAAACGCTGCATTGATCGAATGATGTAGTGAAATATTTTTTATCCACTTTTCAGTATTGAATAACTAATCCATCAAGTTTGACACTAAATGATCAGAAATAAGTGGAACTGATGGCTTTTTTCTTTTGGAAGTTCGAAAAAACATTGATGATGGATAGAAATAGGTCGAAACACATTCGGATCACCTTGTATAGTACATTGTTGAATTCAGAATGAGAAAACCTTTCAGAATCTGTGAAAAAATTATCAGGACCGTATATAAAAAAACAAAAGTTGATGATGGTTCCACGAATACGAAACGTCGCTTAAAAAAATCGGTATCACCAAGTTAAACCCCATCAAAAGTTGCAATGAAAAAGTATTTTCAGTTTTTCTGTATCTCTGATAATAACGGAGAAAAAAAATAAAATAGAAATTCCAAAAATTCACTTTTTTCGATATAACTCAAAAACTAAAAATAATTTTCAAAATTTTCGAAGGCTCTTGATATGAGCCTCCGAATACGCAACTTTTTCCCCATTTAAGCGACTTCGTATCTCCTACCGTTTCCGAGATCCCCATGCTGTTCAACCTTATCTTGGACAGACTGTATAAATAAACAACAATAATGATTACCTTTATTGATTGATGATTCCGTGTAGCTGGTAGTTTGAGGAATTGATTTTCTCATATTTTCGTGGTTTCTTGAGACGAAATTTTCCTGAAACGGCTCATCTTGCTAATTTACGTGTGAACCATACCCATCAATCAAACTTGACACGACAGAAATTGGAGTGACATCAGCTACTAGATCAAAGGAGCAGGCAGTTTATCAGCGATAAAAAAGCTGCACCCTTTTTTATCGATATCAAAATGACTCATGTCGTCGTCTAATTCGCGGGAATCAAGTCACCAGGTGGCGCTCGGTTTTCATCGTTCCATGTCAAAGCTACGTCAAAACTGGGGGAAAACAAACTCAATCCTCACTCAATTCCCTTAGTGCCATTAGCTTGTGTACTGTGTACTGATAAGAGTGATGTTTTTAAATTTCTTGACATCAATTATTGTCAATATTCGGTCGAAAACGCTAATAATGCCTGTTGGTAGATGTTCTTTTGGCAGATATTTTGCTCTATTTAGACGGAAAAAGCCGACCAGTAGGCAGAAGACTTCAACAAAAGGCACATTTTTGCACTTTGTCTACAAACTTCGGCTATGAAATCTTCCACACATAAAGTGAAATTGAAGTTGGGGCCCAGAGGAACTCCTGTAGAACAATGGATTTGTTTTTGTTCATGCAAAGCAGGACAATCTGGGTTTTGTAAACATGTTGTAGCTGTTCTTTTATATGTCAATTGATTTGCTCGTCATAATTAGTTTGAATTGTTTAAACTATCTCAAATTCTTCACCTGTTCACTATTCACTAAACTGATAAAAATGTAATGATGTAAACAAATTAACCAACTCAACCATCATCACTACCAACAGTGCCAACACTTTAAATGTCATTCACAAGTTTGACTACAGCTACAGCAAGCTGAATGCAATGTAGTCTATGCACTTTATCCATAGACAATAGTTTGTTTTCCCCCAGTTTGAAGTTCGTATTATGTAACCTAGATGTCGCCCACTTCGTGAATATCGCGAATAGCGTTTTCCGTGTAGGAGTTGATTCATCAAAGATAATGCGACTCTCTGTATATTGATTCAAATGGTACGACATGTTTAACATGTACATTCGTTATAGTAAATTGCCCCATAAATTCATAGCAGCACCTTTCAACAATTACGAAATATTACAGAAAATCTGGAAATACAATTTTTCTTCATCGCCCGCTCTAGACTCAACGGTGCATTTTCTCATGGAGTTCAATCGTCCTATTTTGGTCTCAAGTTCACCCTGTATAATTCATGGTACTTTATTCTGGGACACCTTGCATAAAATACTAATATTACCAGCATGAACCGATACAAGAAGAGAGGACTCAGTATTTTACCAACGAAATTCGGGATAGCGTTCACGGTACCGTTCCTCAACCAAGGAGGAGCATTAGTTCTTATCTACCTAGATGGGTCCGTGCTTCTGTCCCATGGAGGAGTCGAAATGGGCCAAGGTCTTCACACCAAGATGGTTCAAGTGGCTAGCAGGGCTTTGGGCATACCAGTGGAGAGGATCCACATCAGCGATACCGCCACGGACAAAGTGCCGAATACTTCTCCAACTGCGGCTAGTGCAGGATCCGATTTGAACGGAATGGCAGTGATGGTGAGTCGATGACAATATTAGCTTCTAAGTGTCTTTTTTTGAAGTACCTGGATACAAGCTATGGGTATAAATAAATTAATTTCTAAATTTGACTTTTGCGGGGCCGTAACTTGGGTAGGACAAAGGGGGCAACCGCCACCGCAGCAAGGGGCGCAAAAAATCGTCCATTAATTTCGAAAGAAAGACATGCTTTAGAATTCAATGGAGAAATAGAATAGAAATAGAAGTCCAAGCTCAGCTTTTGTGGAAAATTTTGCCAAGTTAGATCACATTCAAACTCTTCAAATCGACCACGAAAATGAATTGAAAAAATATACAGGGTGTTATAACAAATAAGTGTCAAAATGGAAAAAATGTCGATTTTTTTTTCTTCTTCACGAAATCTTTCTTCGGGCTTCCGTTTTCAAGATAGAGGGCGACAAAAACAATGAAAAAATACAGTTTTTTGCTCTTATCTCAGGGACAGTTTGAGCTAAGGAGCTGAGGCTTGGTACACACTTCATCATTGATAATGACTACTTCTAAAGCCCTTGATCAATTTCCTTGGACATGTCAGTGTCGGAGAGTTCAACACCTCGTATAAGTTTAACCCCCAAACTTTCATTTCACTGAGGAAATTGTAATTTTCAAAGCCCATTCTGAAGTGCCAATATTTTTCACACAATAAAGGTCCTCTTGCTTCAATGCTCTAGAAAAACATACAAAATCCTCGTATCTCTGAAAATCGTCTAAAAATCAAGTTATCACAGGAAATAAATTACTTCAGAACTGTCAAATAAAATGTTCAACAAAAAGTCAGGTTGTTGAGTGCTGGGTCACGAATTGTTGAGTTTCAAGCGTTGTAAAGTGTGTATAATTGAGTGTGGTAAAACAATGAATGACTTTACCAATAACGAATATACTGACATGATGAAAATTTACGGTGAATCACGCAGTAATGGAAGAGCTGCACAACGTCGGTATTCGCAGCGTTTTCCAAATCGTCGATTTTTGCCCGAATTGAGCTTGAGCTCAAGATAAACAGCAAGTTTCATGCCTAATAAAAGAAGATGTACTTCATCTCGTTGAAGAAAATCCAAGAGCAAGCACCCGAGGAATTGCTCAAGCTTCGAATTCGAATCACGTTAATGTTTGGAAAGTTTAACGGGGACAACAACTTTACCCTTTCTATCTACAAAAAGTACAACCGATGCTTAAAAATAATAAAGTAGGCTTTTGTTTTTATTCACAAATCGCCATTTTTCTCGTAAATTGTTCACTTCAGAGAATTGAAGCAAGAGGACCTTTTTTGTGTGAAAGATATTCGCGCTTCAGAATGTGCTTTGCAAATTACAATTTTTCCAGTGGCATAAAAGTTTGGGGGGTTGAACCCTTACAAGGCGTTGAACTCTCCGCCACTGACATGTCCAAGGAAATTGATCGAGAGCTTTAGAATGAAGTGTGTACAAAGGCTCAGCTCCGTAGCTCAAACGATTCCTGAGATAAGAGCAAAAAACTTGATGTTTTTATTTTTTTTTCACCTCCTTTATATTGAAAACGGAAGCCCGGAGAAACATTTTGTGAAGGAAAAACATTTCTCTTTTTTATGAGGATTCTACAGTTTTCCGTTGTGACACTTTTTTGTTAACACCCTGTATACGAATATTTTTCTTTATTGCTGTTACTATAGTGCTTCTTGTGAAAGATTATTTAGGTAACTAAAACTACAGTGACTCTATACTTGACAGTGACGACAATAGGCGTATAAGCTCCGCCCATCCGCCATTAGGGCGCAAATTAGTGCACGAAGATTTGAATTACTTGCCTCTTCAGTGGGTTCTTATTTACATTTCAACTCTCGATTTACCATCTGATCATTCTTATTTTTGCATATCTTCTGAGTGTCTTCTTTTGGAGTAATCTGTGCTATGGGTATTAAAACCTTCATTTCTAAATTGGACTTTTGCAGGGCCGTAACTAGGGTAGGGCAAAGGGAGCAACCGCCACCAGCCCACAAGGGGCGCAAAGAATCAATCATTAAGTTCGAAAGAAAGACATGCTTTAGAATTCATTGATGGAATAGAATAGAAATAGAATTCTAAGTTCAGCTCTTGTAGAAAATTTTGCCAAGATAGATCACATTCAAACTCTTCAGATCATCAATGAAAATGAATTGGAAGAATATACAGGGTGTTGTGAAATGCGACCGACAACACTTGACAGGTGATAGCCCTCGTGATTTCCTAATCACTGAGATAGGGACATACGTTCTTCAAGTGTTCAGTTCTCGAGATACAGGGCATTGAAGTTGAAAAATTTAAATAATTTTAGCGCAATATCTAAAGAAAAATTGGATATAATGCATTCAGATTCGGTACCTATATGATTTCATCTTTCAATGGTTCACTTTTTGACCAGAAAGACATTTCGAGAATTTTACCCAGAGGTTCGCTACAAGAAGTTGTGATAACTTTTCCTCCAATATTTTTAACGCCACTGATGAAATTTCGATTATTTCCAATTCCTCGAATTGATTGTTCAATAATGTTGAAAAAATGCATCACCTTCAACTGAGCTAAAATAAACAGTTATCGGGATATTTGACCCAAAATAGAAGTTTGCATTGTAATTTTTCCTCTTCCTCAGTAGTAGAAAATTACAAAAATGTTTTGTTTCCTCTTTATGCGTGGAATAACTATTTCTGTTCACCTACAGAATGAGATCTGAATAGTATCTAATCTACTCAACACCAGAAAAATATTTATACAATTTTCTACTACTGAAAATGATGAAATATTACTATGCGATCTTCTATTTTGGGTCAAATATCTCGAAAGCTGTTCATTTCGGCTCAGGTGAAGGTGATCAGTGCCGGATTAAGCCAGCGCGGGGCCTGTAGCAAATTCTATCAAGGGGCCTTTGGTTTGCTTTAGGTCATCAAGTTTAGAGTATTGAATAAAATAAAACGAAACTATCACAATTAAACTTCTCTGGATATACCTATATGGGCAAATTTAGAGATAACACTTTCAATATCGACTTCTTCAAGCAAATCATGCTCTATATTTATCAAAGTGAGATGATTGAGACGTTCTTGGCCCATCGTGTTCCTCAACTCATTTTTAATACGTTTTAATACTAAAAAAAATAAACGTTCGCCACTACAGTTAGCAATCATGAGATAATTAACACACACACGTAAATTCGCAAGGCAATTTCTATGTTTGGGAATCATGATTCTGAAGAATTATTCAATGAATGTTTATAAAATTGTAGTTCCAGAGCCTCCAGTTTGGTGCTCTGAATTACAGTACCCACATTCGTTTTGGGCAGCTCAACGATCTACACTAATACGTCGCCTAGTATGGTTTCCAAATCATCTGTGTGAGGAACTGACCATTATTGAGGATCTTTCCAAAATCCCTTTCGCTGTCGATATACTTTTATGAAATGCTTTAAAACGTTTGGTTTTTTTTTATCGATTGGAGCGCACGAAAGGGAATCCCTATAATGTTCAAAGAACATCGTGCGTTCCTAGGGAGGATAGGGACAGGAGGTAGGGAATGGAATTTTTTTTGAATTTTTGGAGATTATATGTTGTTGGGAATACTTCCACAGGCAATGAATTCCTGAGCCTAGCCGTTCTATGGATGAAGGAGTCTTGATAAAGTGCTGTTCGACATCTTTCGAGGTTGACGACGAAAGGATGTGCTGACTGGGCTTGTCTAGTTCGTCTGATTAGTATTGCTAGTGAAGGGATGATTGCAGAGATTTCCGAAGAACATTTCCGGTGGAAGTATCGATAGAAAAGTGGAAGGTCGCCGACCTTTCTACGGTGTTCCAATGATGTCAAAGAGTGAGTGAGTGTGGCGTCACCCACCAGGCGAATGGCTCTTCTCTGGATGGAATCTAAGAGCATCAGCGTATGTTTTGGTGCTGAACCCCATATGTGGAAACAGTATTCTAGAACAGGCCGTATCTGCGCTTTGTAGATCATGAGAAGCTGTTGAGGTGTAAAGTAGCTTTTCGCACGGAACAAGAATCCGAGTTTTTGTGAAGCAGCTTTTGCGATGGATCTGACATGATTATCCCATGAAAGAGTGTTGCTGATGGAAATACCGAGCATAGATATGGTGGGCTTGGTGGGGATGGTGGAGCCAGACATTACAATATCGGGCATACTGAGTTCCGCCTTTCTAGAGAAAATGCAGGCTTGAGTTTTGGTGGCGTTGAATTCAACTAGGTTGTTCGTTCCCCAGGCTGTGATTTCAGCAAGATCTTCATTGACAGCATTGACCTGCCTGCGCCGTGAGTTCTTAGTTTCCAGGGAAGAAATGGGAATTCTGGAAGAGAACGCAGTATGGAGGGTACTATCATCTGCAAAGCTGTGGATGGGGCAAGTTGTTACTCCCAACAGATCATTGATATGAAGCAGACAGTACGTTATCAATAATGAAAATAAATACCTGAACTTCAAAACGTTGTCCAGGAGTTTGATTTTCAACAAAGTCGTCGAGTGTAGTAGAGAGCCGCTGAAATGGTCGTACTTTGTATATCGTTTGATTCGTCCCTATGTTTATAGCTGATAGTATCCTTCACAGTCCTACAGATCTGATGATTTTTTTTTTCAGTAAGACAGGCATTTGCTACTCTTGCTAGGTGGCTGATCCGGCACTGAAGGTGATACATTTTTTGAACAAAATTGAACAATGAATTCGAGGAATTGGAAATAATTGAAATTTAATCAGTGGCGTAGAAAATATGGAAGGAAAAGTTGCCACAACTCCCTGTAGGGCACCACTAGATAAAATGTCCGAAATGGTTTCCTGGTCAAAAAATGACCCATTCAAAGATGAAACGATACAGGGTGTCCGGAGATAAAACCGACAAAACTCATGGGGTTATAGGGACTGTCAATATGATTGCAAAATGCCATAAACAAATGTCCAAAACCGCTTTGTTACTGACATACAGAGTGATTTGTGGATTTTGTCAAAAAATTCAATCCGCCATATAAAATACAGGGATTAACCGATTTGATTCAAATTTGGTACACAAATTACACTGAAGGGCATCAACAAGTAGCCTTTCGATCGAAACCAATATCAGGACCGGAATAATATTTTTTCCCTATGTTAAGTTATTATGAGAATAACTCACCCTGTATATTAATAACCAAAATTTTGAACTCAGATTCGAAATCTACGGTAAAAATCGTATAGGAATTTGTTAATGAATCTCCTGGCACTATCTCAGTTATTCCGTAATTTATTATTATTTCAATTGTTTTCATTTAAAAATCAATTATTTTCGGATAAAGGACCATCAAAATTGGTAATGAAATGAATATTTACGAAACCATGATATAATTTTCGTTATGTTCTTCAATCAGTTCGTAAATCGTAGTAGAATGAAATACTCTCATAACCCGAAAAAACTGAGGAATAAATTCGTATCAGGACTGGAATGAGGTTTGATCTTACTCTGCTAGATTATTTTCAATAGGGTCATTTGAAATCAGAAGTTCATAATGAAGAAATTATAAATAGAGAACATTTATTAGAGAAAATTACTGCTGCCTATGAAAGTGTTAGAAGTAACCCTCAAATAATTCGCAAGCGCAAGTCAGTGAATCATCTAAGAGCACGCTTTCAAAAATGTACCTACTGATGCTGGAGGGCTCCACTGCAAAAATGTTTTGTAATACTGGGTAGCGGAAGTTTTTTTACGAATTTATTTGTTCTGTTATGATCATTACGAACAGTTATTGTTCGTTGTGTAATATTTTCAAAAATTCAGCTAACATGAACAAAAAAAAACTCATTCCAGTCCCGATACGAATTTATTCTTCAGTTTTTTCGGATTATGAGAGTATTCCATTTTACTACGATTTACGAACTGATTGAAGAAAATAACGACATGTCATGGTTTCGTAAATATTTATTATATTACCAATTTTGATGGTCCTTTATCCGACAATAATCGATTTTAGGATGAGAAATATCGAAACAATATTCAATTACGGAATAACTGAGATAGTGCCAGAAGATTCCCCAACAAATTCCTATTCGATTTTCACCGTAGATTTCGAATATGAGTTCAAATTTTTGGTAATTATCATACAGGGTGAGTTATTCTCACAATATCTCAACATAGGGGAAAAATATTATTCCGGTCCTGATATTCGTTTCGATCAATGGGCTACTTGTTGATGCCTTTCAGTGTTATTTGTGTACCAAATTTGAATCTAATCGGTTAATCCCTGTATTTGATATGGCGGATTGAATTTTGTGTCAAAATCCACAAATCACTCTGTATGTCAGTAACGAAGCGGTTTTGGACAATTGTTTATAGCATTTTGCAATCATATTGACAGTCCCTATAACCCCATGAGTTTTGTCGGTTTTATCTCCGGACACCCTGTATACCGGATTTGAATGCATTATATTCAATTATTCTTCAGATATTGCGAAACAACTATTTTAATTTATTAACTTTAACGCCCTGTATCTCATGAACTGAACACTTGAAGACCGGCGTATGTCCCTATCTCAGTGATTATGAAATCACGAGGGCTACCACCTGTCAAGCGTTGTCGGTCGAATTCCGCAACACCCTGTTTACCAGTTCCCAATGTGGTTTCCAGGAGGCTTGCGAAATTCTCAAAGAACGTCTGAAACCCTATAAGGAAAGGAATCCAGGTGGGACGTGGGATGACTGGGTGAGATCTGCGTACTTCGACAGAGTCAGTCTGGCAGCCACAGGGTTCCATAAGACCCCTGACCTGGGCTACAACTGGGCAACGGGTGAAGGCAACTTATTCAACTATTACACGTACGGCGCTGCCTGCAGTGAAGTGGAAGTAGATACTTTGACTGGTGACCACAGAGTTCTAAGAACCGATATTGTCATGGATTTAGGTAAGAATTTATTAGGGACTAAGGAATGGTAAATTTGTCCTCATCGCAATTTCTATTCTTCTATCAACGTATATATAGAAGATATTTTGTGATTTTGGATCACCCCAGTGTTATTATACATATATATGTAGCTATTATACCGGGTGTCCCATTTTAATCTTTATTTGGAAATTTCTCGAAATGTATGCATCTGACAAAAAAAATTGACGAATAAAAGTTGCATGGTTTGGAGGGGGACGTCTGGTTATAAAACAAGTTTCACCCCCTGACCCCCAGTGGAGTAAGAAATGGAGGTAACATTGAAATCTTTAATGGAAACCCTTATTTTTTATTGCAGATTCTGGAAGAGCATTCAAAACTATGAAGCTTTTATTCGGGAACTTCTTTTTTATTTTCACAAGATGGCGCTGCGATCGGTAAATACAATATTTCACTATTTACACATTTCAACCCCCTGAAGACGAGGAAGAGTGTAGGGTGTGATATTTTCCCAGACAAACGCCATTGGGGTGATATTCACACGACAAATTAACGCTAAACGAACTTACTTACCTTGACACCTCTACATAGAAAAGAGAAAAATAAGCATGTTTCAGCAATTAAGGTATCATTTAGGTCAGACTAGAGCTGGTTTTAAGTGAGATTGACTACTTTATCAAGTGTTCGAAATGGCCTCCATTTTCTTGAATACACAAGTTCACTCGTTTTTCAAAATTCCGCATTGTCGCTTCCAACATAGCAGGCGTTATCTTTCATCATATTTAGATTCTTTCATATTCTCGCGTGTGGTTGGGGGTTCGCGAAACACAATGTTTTTGATGTAACCCCACAGAAAGAAGTCTGGGGAAGTCAAGTCGGGTGATCTGGGTGGCCAACTACAAACTATATAAATAGTAAAATATTGTTTTTCAAGATCGCAGCGCCACCTTGTGAAAATAGAAAAGAAGTTCCTGAATAAAAGCTTCATAGTTTTTAATGCTCTTCCAGAATCAGCAATAAAAAATAGGGGTTTCCATTAAAGATTTCAATGTTACCTCCATTTCACACTCCCCTCAGGGGGTGAAACTTGTTTTATAACCAGACGTCCCTCTCCAAACCATACAACTTTTATTCGGCAATTTTTTTTGTCAGATGCATACATTTCGAGAAATTTCCAAATAAAGATTAAAATGGGACACCCGGTATATACAGGGTGTCCCATAATTAGCGTGCAATACTTCACCAGCAGATTGAACGATTGAAAATATGAAAAAAAGTTCCTATAAACATAGGTCGAACAATGTCTCATAAGCGAGCTACAGCTGAAGATGGTTTTTATTTTATATCTTCGAAACTGTTGATAGCAGAACTATGAAATTCTGCAAATCGGCCAATCTTTTTATGCCTAATAATATGCGATAATAATAATTTGAAAATTCCATCCAGAAATGCGTCAAACTGTAGGGGGTGGGGGGTAAAATCACCCCAACTTTTTTTAGTGCGGTGTTTTTGCAACTTCAGCAGAAATACAATTAAATTCAAATACCAACTTGAAAAATTTATCATTTCTGAATTGAATAGATGTTTTTTTTTCGACTTTTGATTCATATTCAAATTGATTTTTGCTCACCAATATGAAATGATTTGTCAAAATTTAAAACTTAATGTTTTCAAATATTATATTATTTATTAGTTTATCATAATTGTATAGTTTTAGGTATTATTACTTCCTGACTGGAAGTAACATTTTCAATAAATAAATAAATAAATAAAAATTATGAAACTTTGAAGCCTTTTGTACAAAAAAGTTCCTCTTGTTCAACTTCGATAGGAAGCACCGTTCGAGTGTATCATTGGCATCTCTCTCACAGCTGCGAATGTCGTCCTACCTCAATGATTATTACGGAAGATACAGAGGTGAAACCATGAGAAATGTGACACATTGAGTATATTTTTGCGAATATTTCTGAAGTTGTCGAAGAAAAAGGTAGATTAATATATATATTTGAATATGGAATGCCATTAGAAAAAAAATAATTGACTGCCGTATCTTCTTGATGTCACCCTGTATAAAATTTCTGATGATGCCAATGGATTCTGCGCATCATTCTATATGGATACAAATTCGAAAATTTTCAATATCTCCCTCCATGAAGTACTCAGAAAATAAAAACGAAATCGGCAATTTTTCAATTTCCCCCTGTATCTCTGAAACGAATGAAGATATCAAAATTCCAACTGTACCATTCGTGGTTTCTCTAAAATCGAACCCGTAACATGTATATCGATTTTTTGATAACTCCTTCAGTTACTGAGATAGCCTATGAAAACGCCCAATTTTGCCCACCCTGTACAATTAAATGTTGTTTTTTATTTAAAGGGGAGAGTTTGAACCCTGCCATAGACATAGGACAGATCGAGGGGGGTTTCATGCAAGGGTATGGATTGTTCGTCCTTGAAGAGTTGGTGCATTCGCCGACAGGAGAAACATACACCAGAGGTCCGGGAACCTACAAAATTCCTGGATTTGGGGATATTCCTGCAGAGTTCAACGTTTCTCTATTGAAAGGTGTGTCGAATCCGAGAGCAGTGTACTCTTCCAAGGTAATTTATGCACTTCCTAAAATTCATAAACCTGGTAAAACGGTGAGACCTGTAGTGGTTGGCATCAACTCATCCACTACCAAATGGCTCACAAGTCAGTTCAAAAATGTTGTCTTCTCAAAAAGATTTTCAGTCGAACATTCAATCTAATTTATTAATCAAATTAAACCCATGAAACCTAGTGTTAGATTGACTAAACTTAAGCCAGAATCGTTGTCGAATAAACAAGTGTAAAAACTTCACAAACGATAAAAATAAATCCTACAAAAAATTCCAAACTCTTAGGTTTAACTATAGACCAGACTCTATCTTGGTCATCTCATATTCAAAATTCTCCCATTGTTGGTATATTATACAAATTGAGGTCTCTTATACCTGGAATTAATTTATTTCAGTTTGATTACTCTAAATTGCAGTATCTGATATCGATCTAGGGTACTGCAGCGAAATCTGTCTTGTAACCTCTCAAATCTCTTCAAAATGAAGCCATAAAATGTATTAATGCACTAGCGGGCAGTAAAGTGCACTTTGTCGCCCAGATTTGCAGGCGTAAGTGTAATGTAATGGCCCTCGGCTGGCGCCATCGGGCCATTCTTCACGCCGCAGGCCATAGACGCCTACTTTACGCCATTGATACATAAATAACTATTATAAACTACCATTTCTGGAATCAATCTAGACTATACAAACCAAGGGATCTGCTATTGACTCTCTCTTCAGAATGAAAGTATGCATTTTCATTCATTTCACTTCACTAAAAATAAGAGAAAGCACTCGAATCTTACTTTATTCAATATCAATTCTGATACCCATGAGCATCACACCAGACGAAGTGAACATTTGAAAACTGTCAAAATAAAAACACAATTCGGGAAAAAACATTTTATTTTTGTGGAACCAATATTTATAATAGTCTACCCAACGGAATAAATCAAATCAAATCAAAATATACTTTATTATCGTAAGATTTTCATCTCATTGATAACGTCATGATGAATATAAAATAAATAATTAAATAAGTATATATAAATAAATAGTATAGAGCAGGTACTATAGCATTGTCACAATTATTATAAATACATATTTACGTAAATACAAGAAAAAGATAAAAGCGAGGATAAAAGAGAACAGACAGATACAAAATGAACTGAGCATTAAAATACAATTCTTACATGTTAAAATAGACATATATTTTAACTATTCCAATCTTTCTCAAGAAACTCTTGAACATTATAAAAAACCTCACCGATAAGTAGGCGCTTGACAGATCTCCTGAAATGAGACGGCAAAACTATGTTTTTGAAGGCAGGAGGGAGGTGATTGTATAATTTAATCGCACTATAGATCAGAGAGTTTTTCGTTAAATTTGAAGTCGGAATAGGTAATCGCAAATTGTTCCTTCGTCTAGTGATACCAACTGTTACCTCGTATGATGATTTGTTTTTATGTACTAGACACACTGTTTCGAGAATAAATAACGACGGAAGGGTGAGGATTTTTATTTGACCGAACAGCGGTTTACAAGATACTCTTGGCCCAACTTCGCAAAGGTATCGGACTGCACGCTTTTGAAGAACAAAGACACTATTGAAGTTTTGTTGGCTGCAGATACCCCAAAAAGGTATTCCATAGCTGATATGTGATTCTATCAGAGCGTGGTATACTACCTTCGCAGTGGCTATACCTAGTTCTTTCGCCACCATTCGCAAAGCATAACACCCACGTGCTAGTTTTGTATTCAAAGACTTCACATGGTTCTCAAAATTCAAATTATTGTCCAGATGGATTCCAAGGAATTTGCTCGTATACGTTTGCTCAATGATAACTTCAGTACTCAAAGGAATATCTGGTAGATTACATTTAAATGATAAGAGATGGGTTTTATTTATATTTAAAATCCATTGGTTCGTGACAAAATTCAAGTGTGAATCGAAGAAATATATTTTATCAATTTAATTCCCTCCTTCTATCAATTAATTCTGATTGAACTGTTTATCTTTCATTGTATTGCATATTCGATATATTTATTATATTTTTATCCCTCTATAAACATTGTATGTTTCTTGGGATCAATAAAAATGTTATTATTATTATTATAAGATTTCCACAAAATTCTCAAACACACGACATGTTTCGCTAACACAGTAGCTTCGTCAGGTGATATACTGGTACGATGAACTAGTTTAGTTGGATTGCTTATACTATACTGTCCCAACCTGAAGGATCAGTTACTTATGGACAGGTTCGATAAACCTTCAGTTTCGGAAATTAGGCAGAATATCAACACTAAAATACGGTGTACCGGATTAACATGAAATGGTTGATAGCAAATACATATTATTACCTACTAAGAAAACGAATTCAACAGTGGGGAACTAACTAATATCAGAATTTCTGAGTTTGTTGATTCCTAATGATTCAAAATTTCATTCCTTTATTTTCTACGTGTAAAATTTCGAAATTATCATCAAAACTATGTTTTTTTTTCTAATATATGGTTGGCGTATGTTGAATTTGTTTTCTTTTTCAAAAAATTCATCTTATGTTCATGAATGCGCTGATTAAACGAACGACCTGTCTACAGATTTTTGTTTTGTATTTCCCTGATTTTTCGAATTTAGAAGTTTTGTCTTTATTATTTTTGATAAACGTGTTATTTGTTCTATATGCTGCTTTTTAGTCCTGTTTATGTACGAGTTCATCGTACCAGTATATCACCTGACGAAGCTACTGTGTTAGCGAAACATGTAGTGTGTTTGAGAATTTTGTGGAAATCTTATCGTTTGTGAAGTTTTTACATTTGCCATGGATTTCCATTGAGTAACGGCCGAGTCAATTGAAAACAAAAAGAATAAACAAGTTCTTTGAACATTATAGGGATTCCCTTTCGTGCGCTCCAAGCGATAAAAAAAAAAGTTACTGCAATGGGTAACAATCTAACACCATTTATTACTAAGTAATCCATTCAATAATGATGTTGGAAAAAAATCCAATATTTTTCAAGGGTTTGACGACATTTTTACTTTCTTGATACCATAAGTGCAATTTGGATGACATCTTGACGACCTTGAATAATCGTATGTGATACCACAAGTATATTGATGATTATCGAAATACAAATCCCTCCGATATCCTAAAGCTAATCCGAAATATATTTGACGAATCAGAATTTGACATACCTAGGAAAGGTTGATACCAAGTGACTTGCAAAAAAATTGTTCTTCCATGCATACATTCTGTTTTCTCCAGAAGAAGTAGCAGACAACTAATCAAAACACAAGCCATTTTAGACGTCTGGAGCCATGAGGTGAATCATTAGTTTGAAACAAATATCAACTTTGTAAATGTTTTGATGAACTTAAATTCCAAACCAATTGGCATGTTCACAATATTCTATATTTTCAGATTTTTTTGGTACAAATGAGATTTTTTTTTATTAAAAATTGTTTCTAAGAGAGTTTGCATTTCTCCAAAATCAAGTTGCGTTTTGCATGATGAATTCTGAGCATTAAAGAGATGAAACTTTTATGAAGAATTCAATACCTTGAGAAATTTCAAACAAAAACAAAAAGATTTTCCGATATGAAGCCGTGACTTCTGTGACGTCATACTCAACTTCGACGTATAAATATTATTAGTTGGTTGTTGAAGTCACTAACCCAGTAAATATCTGTTCATGGTCATAAAATAATTTCGCAAACCTTAATTTTCAAAGGCTGTAGGAGAACCGCCACTATTCTTAGCCAGTTCTGTGTTCTTCGCCATCAAAGAAGCCATAAAAGCAGCTCGAGAAGAAAATAATATTCCAGAGAATTTCTTCACCCTGGATGCACCAGCGACGGCAGCGAAAATTCGAATGGCTTGTGAAGATAACATAACAGCCAAGGTGAATGATAATTTATGCTAGGTATACTGGCGTTAGTAAAAAAATAGTAGATTGTTTTATTAGGATCAAAAGTGACACTTTGTTTGACAAGCGAATTTTGCATTTGCGAGGCGGAGCGTTTAGCGAAGCCGAGCGGAAGCAAAATTTGCGAGTCGAACAAGTCACTTTTGATCCGAATAAAACATGCTATTTTTTCTGCAACCGAAACAATTAACTCAAATAAACATGTGAAGTAACCACCAATGCCGTGCCATATGTATGCAATGCAACAAATATTGACAAATGTCAAATAATCCATGTGGTGAGAATATTCTACCTGCATTAACAGCAGGTTAGGTTTTCTAGGATGTTCGAATTGCAGTTTCAATATAAATACAACCACAGAGTGACATATTTGTGTATGGACCAGGTGCTCTAATGGCAAATACCGCGCCAGTGCCAGCTATAGCAACGAGACGTGGAAAACGTTAGGTTAGTGAGCATATCAACAATGATAATAGTGATTATTTATTCCTCTCCATACTACACTGTGTTTGACTTGATAATCAAATGAAGCTAAACAATATCGTTGTTTGAGACAAAAAAACTACTGCTTGCCGTGATTATTCAAAAACAAGTTATCCATCCCGAGAATAACGAATGAATTAAATACAGATCAAGCAATTATTTGAATCTTGAAGGCTTCCCTGATCAAAACGAAAATACTTAACTGAGATGTTTATAATTGCAATACTAAACTATAACAAGGTGTATTTATATCTCCAGCATGTCCAGCAAATCAGGTATGCGTCTCAACCCAAATAACCAACCATCACAATGTTGTTTATTCTTGATGACGTCCAGTAGATCCTTTTTAGTTCCTAGGAGCTAAAGTTATCAATATTATCATTGTTGTTATGCTCACTAACCTAACGTTTTCCACGTCTCGTTGCTATAGCTGATACTGGCGCGGTATTTGCCATTAGAGCACCTGGTCCATACACAAATATGTCACTCTGTGGTTGTATTTATATTGAAACTGCAATTCGAACATCCTAGAAAACCTAACCTGCTGTTAATGCAGGTAGAATATTCTCACCACATGGATTATTTGACATTTGTCAATATTTGTTGCATTGCATACATTTCGAACATATTTTACCATATATATATACTATTATACAAAGTGTTTCAAATGTCGAGGAATCATCGTTCTTTCAAAAATTTTATCTGATTAAATCTCATTTTTCTCAGAAAATTGAATACGCATTTCATCGACTCGCAAATTTTGCTTCCGCTCGGCTTCGCTAAACGCTCCGCCTCGCAAATGCAAAATTCGCTTGTCAAACAAAGTGTCACTTTTGATCCTAATAAAACAATCTACTATTTTCTCCAAATGTCATTAAAAGTGGATTTTTAATGACACTTAACAGGCAGGTGTACTTCTACTGCCTAGGCAGGAAAATTTTGTTGCTATGCAACGTTCCAAGTTGTTTGTATCAAATTGGTAACCAAAATTGACAATGACTCTGGGTGAACAAAAAATGATGGATTATTTGGACTTTGCGTGAAATTGGAAAGAATTTGAAGAAAAAATTATATGTTTCACATGGCAGAAAAGAAGATGTAATGCCTTGGCTGATTTCCTAGCTTCTCTTACGCCTAGAAACGCCAGCCGCGGCATTAAATCTTGTACTTTTCTGCCTAGTAAAACAAATAACTATTGTTTACAGGCTGACTGTCAAAAAACACCTCTATCCAAATAAAGCGCTGTTATTTATTGTCCGATTCTAATGATCTGATGAACAAAAAAGCAAATTAAATTACTTTTCCAATACTACGAGGAAAAACATTGCCTTTAGGTCAATCGAGGAGGTAGAATATGTTTTTATTTATCTAGATTTTTGGGATTTTTTCTCTGCGTCACTATGTAAATAACAATATTAGTATTCAATATTCATACTTACTGCGCTTGAAATTTCACTATGAGGAACCTAAGAGAAACATTTGATTGATAGTCACTGACACCTTGTTTGAAAAAAAAATTGTTGAAGAAAATAATAAAGGTATAATGAAAAATATTAAATGTCACAAATCTTTCAACGTTTCGATAAACAATCTGCTCCCGTTCCCAACACACAAAAGGAAACAAAAATATTTCAGGAAACTAACAAATATTGCTCAATAATAAAAAACACGAAAGTGAACTTGTTATACATCATACTGAATTCAGAAAAAATATATAATACCAGAAGCAATTTGAAAAAAATGTCTTACCATTTAAAAAAATGACATAGGGTTGAATTGGAAAATAAAATTCAATTCGATTTGCTTTTTGGTTCATCAAAATCAGATAATAAATAACTACTCCATGGCCTGGAGCGTTTTTCTGTTCAGTTTGCCTTTATATAACACATTAGTACAAAAATAACTATGCTCTTCAGTGATTGCTCAAAATAGAGGTGAACTTGTCTAAATTCTCTTTCTACATGCAATATCTATGGAAAATATTACACCCAGATACTGCAGTTAGGTTTTTATTCCTCATTGGAGAAATTAACGAAACTTTCTTTTTGCAGTTGGAAGAACCTGAGCCTGGAAGTTTCAAGCCATGGAACGTTGTTACCTGAATCTGAATTATCTATGTTCACTTTATGTAAATAAAATATGCAATACCATAAGGACCATGTATATTATTACATTATGAATTTTCATGACATTTTTCACAATATTTCTCGAACTCTACAAGATCAACGTCAACGTTTTTCATTAAATACATCACCGCGCCTGAAAGAATACAAGATATAAGCTATAGGTAGTACTGAAATGGGGAAGTGGACTATATTTTTGATGCATTGAATTTCAAAAGTTGAGGGATCACGCCTCAAACTCGTCCGCCATATTGGATCCGCCATCTTGAATTTCCATATTTTGACGAAAAAATCATAATCTCCGACTCCCTAAACCCCACAGATACCAGTTTTGAATAGAATTGGATTGCAAAACTCGTCCGACATATCGGATCCGCCATCTTGAATTTTGAATTTGAAAAATAGTTTACGGCATATTCTCAGACCTACCGAATATATGCACATAAATGTTCATAAGAATCGGCCAATCCGTTTCGGAGGAGTTTGGCAACAAACAACGTGACAGTGACCGGAGGATTTTATACAGAGTGTATCTGAATAACACCGAAAAAATTCAAGGGGGTGTTTCCTTGTGACATTATAGCAAATAAAGTTCATATGAACATGTGTCCTAATTTGCTCCGTTTTTGAGATACAGGATGTTGAAGTTGGAAGTATTAATTGTTTTTATTTATAACCCCCCTGTATGAGCTTTGATGGTGCCAAAATCCAGTATGGATGGAGACTGAGAAAGCCCCAAAATTGCAAAATGATTCTAAATGGGGTTATTGAGTAATCTCAATGGAAGTCTTGAAAACACCAACATTAAAATTTGGAGTCAAATCGAAGTTTTATTGTTTCCTAAAAAACTAAGCTCGATTCAAAAATTGCACAGAGGCTAAAAAAGTTTTTATTTCAATTGCTCAATATAATGATAATATGAAACTCAGAAAAACCGTTGGTGTACATACAATGACATTCAGCATGAATATCGATAAATTTACCCACTGTCACGCCACTGGAGATATTATTTCGAATCTAATTGCACTAGAAAACACTTCATATTACTATCAACAAAACCACAACGTTTTATTGAAATTGATGGAAAGACAATTGAGAAACGAATAGAAAAAAGATTTTTCATGGAACTATTGATAACCTGTATCTCGAAAACGAAACAAGTTAGAACACATGTTCATATGAACTACGTTTCCTGAAATATCACAAGGAATCCCCCCTTGCATTTTCTCGGTGTTATTCAGAAACACCCTGTATATTAGATTATTCCACTAAATTCCAATTTCTACAAATGTACAGGGTGGCCAACTAAGAATCCAGAGTTCGATACCTCTGTTGTCTTGAAAGATACAAAAAAAAGTTTCGCATTCAAATTGAAGTGATTACCGAGCTTAACATCTCAAAATTTCTTTGAAATACACAGGGTGTTCCGTAAAGTCACAGCACATCAAAGCTATGTATTTTTCATTGGAACACCCTATATTTAATTTCATTTTTGAATTCTCCCTGAAGATCTGATTTCAACGACGTATCATACTTAGGGTCTATCAGTGGAAGTTACTAACATATAGGGTGTGCCAAATCGAGATTTCCAAGTTCAGAATTTTTTTCTGTCGAAACTGTTCATTATTCGTCAAAACGGTTTGCATGCCCCTATCTCATCTTTTCACTCACTATCAATTGGTGTTCAATTGACATTTAATTGAATCAAATTAAAAATTCTGATTTTTTTTTATCACTTTGTGTCAATTTTAATTGAACATCAATTGATAGTGAGTGAAAAGTTGGGATAGGGGGAACTTGGGAAATCTCTATTTTGCACACCCTATATGTCAGTAACTTCACTGCTAGACCCTAAGTATGATACGTCGTTGAAATCAGATCTTCAGGGAAAATTCAAAAATGAAATAAAATATAGGGTGTTCCAATGAAAAAAAACATAGCTTTGATGTGCTGTGACCTTACGGAACACCCTGTGTATTTCAAAAAAATTTTGAAATGTGAAGCTCGGTTATTACTTCAATTTTGATACATGAATTTTTTTTGTATCTCTCAATACAACAGAGAAATCGAACTCTGGAGTCTTAGTTGGCCACCCTGTACAGGCTGATTCACGGTGGATGGCACATTAGACGTTTCTGGAAAACGCAACTCAGGATTATTCTGAAAAGTTGGTGCCTTGGATAATTAGTTGTGTTCTATCAACCTAAAATATTCTCAGTGTGGCGACATTGCCGCTTATATTGAATAGTAGCAACAACTTTGATTTTTTAAATGGGACACCCTGTATTTTATTCCATTTACAGATTCTCCTTGAAGGGATTATTCAATTGACCTATAACACTTGGGGTCTAGCAGTAATAAATACAGAGTTAAGGATGTGAAAAATCGAAATTTTTCAACTTCAGAAATTTCTTGTGTCGAAACTATGGTAATTTTGCGCTTATCATGCATACTTTAATGACCCATTTTAAGCTAGAAAATTCAACAGGAAATATGATTTTTATGGCGAGTTTTTCCTATTTAGTGAGCAAGCATACCAGATGACGGCCATTTAATTCATAGGCAATCCAAATACATGATGTCAAATGTCAATAGATTGCTTTAGAATGACATTACACACGCCATTATTTCAAATGATATTCTTCCTTCTTTTCACTAAACATGGATAAATTCACAAGAAAATCATATTTCTAGTTGACTCATATAATTAATAAAAATGTGTCCAACATTGTGTGATAAACAGGGTGGGCCACCAGTAACGCCTCGGTCTCTAGAAGGCTAACCACTTATCTTTTTACCATTTAAAATTATTTCGAAACATACAGGGTGTCCCCAAAAACCATAAAACACTGAAGTTGAACTTTTTTCTATCGAACACCCTATATATTATTTCATTTTGAGATTCTCCCTGATGAGCTGATTTCAACGACTCATCATACTTGGGGTCTAGCAGTTATAATTACTGAAATATAGGGTGTGAAAAATCGAGATTTTCCAAGTTCAAGAATTTTTTGTGTCGAAACTATTCATAATTGGTCAAAACGGCTTACATGTCCCTATCTCAACTTTTGATTAACTATCTACTGATATTTAATTGGGACATATACCGGGTGATCAAGATTCTGAATTCTGCACCACCCTGTATTTGTTTCAATTAAATGTCAGTAGATAGTTGATCAAAAGTTGAGATAGGGACATGTGAGCCGTTTTGACCAATTATGAATGGTTTAGACACAAAAAATTCTTGAACTTGGAAAATCTCGATTTCTCACACCCTATATCTCAGTAATTATAACTGCTAGACCCCAAGTATGATGGATTGTTGAAATTAGCTCACCAGGGAGAATCTTAAAATGAAATAATATATAGGGTGTTCGATTGAAAAAAGTTCAACTTCAGTGTTTTGTGATTTTTGGGGACATCCTGTATGTTTCAAAATAATTTCAAATGGTAGCCTATGTTGACATGCAACTTCCTAGAGAGGAAGAATTCCAAGAAGATAAGTGGTTAGCCTTCTAGAGACCGAGGCGTTACTGGTGGCCCACCCTGTATATAAATTGTCCAATGATGGAAGAAGAAGGGCAAATTGTTATAATTGTGGTCAAAAGACAGGCGGAAAAGAAGGTGAAATTTGTAACTTTATAGTGAAATATCTTGATAAATAATGGTTTGTTCACATTTTCATTATCAAATTCGTGTTTTTCAGACAAAAATACGTAAGTACCAAAAAAAAATTTCAGAAAAAAACCCATCGCATGATAAGTGCAAAATTACCGAAACTATTCATAATTGGTCAAAACGGTTTTCATATCCCTTGCGGCGAAACTCAATTAATCTCAGGGGGTAGTTTATATGGGTCCACACTGTATATGTGGTTTCGGGGTAAGAAAAACTCGCGAAGTCGGACAGACCAAGTTTTAATTCCACCCCATCGTAGCATGCGCCTAAAACTGACAGAGAAAACCAAATACAACATTTTTTTCCCACGATATGATCCGAATACAATTGACAAATAAGTAGCAAAGATAATCGAGTCCAGTAAACTATAAGCTATATATTTTAATGACGTAACTCACCTGACAGATCAGGCACACTGTTGCTGAAATAATTATATTTCAGGACAGATGAGAACACAAAGATTCTGTGCAGTCAATGGCAAACACTTTCGAAATTGGGGAAAACTTTTTGGTTGACGATATCAGCTTGGATATATTTTACGCACTGAACACTCCCAAGAGCAACAACGTTCGAAATTTTCACTTTATTATAAAAACGGGAGCTCGCTTCTTTCGGTATTCGACAAAAACTAGAAACAACCAATTAATTTTGAATCGAGGATTCGGACACAGGGGAGTACCCGTGGGGATAATGATAAAATATGAAATGCTATATAATTGGGGTGATTATTTCGGGAAATGACTGGAATATAGCAATCTCGTATTGGTTTCGCTACACCCTATCCCAACATTTTATTCACTATCAATTGATATTTACTTGAAATAAATACAGGGTGGTTCAGAATTAAGATTTTTGAACAGCCTGTAACTATTTCAATTAAATATCAATTGATAGTACATAAAAAGTTGAGATAGGGACATGGAAACCGTTTCGACCAATGATGAATAGTTTTAACATAAAAAATTCTTAAAGTTGAAAATTCTCGATTTTTCACACCCTATATCTTTGTTATCATTTCCGCTAGACCCCAAGTGTGATACATCGATGAAATCAGCTCTTCAGGGACAATCTGAAAATGGAATAATATACAGGGTGCCCCGTTAAAAAAATCAAAGTTGTTGCTACTTTTCAATATAAGCGGCAACGTCGCAACACTGAGAATATTTCAGGTCGATAGAACACAACTAATTATCAAAGGCACCAACTTTTCAGAATAATCCTGAGTTGCGTTCTCCAGAAACGTCTTATGTGCCGTCCAGCGTGAATCAGCCTGATGTATACAGGGTGGTCCGTTTTTTAATACGGAAAATTTAACAGCATATAGTACTCGTTGATATAATAAATAAACTTCCTATGAACATATACTTTTAAACGCTTCGTTTTCGAGATATCGGGTGTTCAAGTTTCTTTAAAGAATCGATTATTTATTGATTTCTCAGAAATGCTATAACCGATTGTGATGAAATTCACATCTATTGTGGAAATATCAATGAGCTAACTTTTAGACCTATTACAGTTCATGAATGAGTTACATATTTTCAGGGGCATGCATTTCAAAATACAATTTTTTTGCCCTCTTAGATTTCTTATCTAATAGCTTCGTTTCAGAAGGAAAAATAAAAACCAAACCTATGCATTGTAATGCATTAAATCTGGTTAGCATTAGCCGTTTACCAAACCAATCATGTAACTATTGCAAATCAATCAATTTGATAAAAACACGGAATAACTCCAGTTTGTTATTTCTTCGACAGAACTTTCTGAGTGACAGCACATATAAACAGTGAACAGTGAGCAACTGAGCATAGCCTTCTTCTTCAATTGATATCAAGTAGTATTATTTAACTAAAAAATGTTATAAAATCTTATAAGCGAGCTTTTTTCATTGAAACTGGAAAAATAAATGAAAAATAATTACCCACCCGAAAAATTTGTGTAATTATTACCTTCGCCACCCCAGATTCAGCCGCCACTGAATATTTTTTATGAATAATTTTTATTTAATATAATAAATCTCGAAAAGTTCAGTATCTGTGAAAAATTTCGTTAATTTATCTACCGTTTCTAACTTTTGATTAAAAAAATATATTCAGAAGCGTATTTTTGACACCCAATATCTCAAAAACGAAGCGTTTAAAAGTATATGTTCATAGGAAGTTTTTTTATAATTTCAACGAGTACAGGGTGATTCACCATAAATGTCCCCCCCTCTAGCTCAGTTATTTTTAAACCGATTTCAAAATTTGAAATATCATCTTGAATGATTTTTGATTGAGTTTTTTTCCGCTACATCAGAAAATACAGGGTGCTCGGAACAAACGATCTACAGGGTACCATTTGATTATTTTATATGGAACACCCTATTTTTCATTGTATTTTTAGATTCTCCCTGAGAAGCTGATTTGCTCAATGTATCACACTTGGGGTCTATCGGGAATGATTACAGAGATATAGGGTGTTCAAAATCGAGATTTTTCAACTTTAGGATTTTTTTGAGACGAAACTATTCATCATCGGTCAAAACGGCTTTCATGTCCATATCTCAACTTTTGATTTACTATCTACTGACATTTAATAATTGGAACAGATACAGGGTGATCAGAATTCTGAATCTTGAACCACCCTGTAAATGTTCCAATCAAATCTCAATAGACAGTTAATCAAAAATTAAGATGGAAACATAGGAGCCGTTTCGACCAATAATGAATAGTTTCGAGACAAAAAAATCCTAAACTTGAAAAATCTCGATTTTGAACACCCTATTATAGGGTGTTCCATTTGGAAAAATCGAGTAGTACTCTGTAGATCATTTGTTCCGAGCACCCTGTATTTCCTGATGAAACGGGAAAAAAAATTCTGAGAAATCATTTTAGATCATCCTTCAAATTCTTAAATCGGGTCAAAAATAAGTGAGCTAGAGGGGGGGACAATTATGGTGAATCTCCCTGTACTATACGCTGTTAAATTTTCCGTATTAAACAACGGACCACCCTGTATATCAGAACCATTTGCAGGGGAACATCCTTTTTATGTATTTTATGAATGCATGTAGATATAGTGATAGAAAAAATACAATATCAGTCCAGTTGCCCATTACATAATGTTTTTCTTACCTTTCAACTGACAGTCCGTTTCGAAGAAACCTCTGCCAATGTGTGAAGCTATCAACTCGGTATGTGACAACAAACCAATCCTATATTTACAAACGAATGTTCCTATCAATTTCAGATCATTGTTCGATAATTTCCGGTGATTTTTTCTTGCTTCCACCGTCGCATCCACGAACATGTCATGAAATGCTTGCTTCACTTGTGCAGTTATTTCATTTTCAAAATTAACTTTTTTGGCAGTCTGAAATGATTATAATAATTTTTTGCGCGTTTTCCATAAATATATTTTCAATTCTTTCTTGAAAATTATGATATTCAAACAATTTAGACTTTATGAATTTCAATTGTTGCCTTTGTTTCATGTAACTATGATTGATTTTATTTTTTTTTTTTTTGGATCTTTCTTTTATTTTATTCAGACCAGGGAAGAGTCCCTCTTATCCTGATATCTATTATGGAACAAAATAAAAACGGTATTGAAGTTTGATGCGAACAGCCCTTCTGTCCCAAATAAGTTTCAACGAACAATTGAAATAAAAAGATCAGTAGGATACTAAGTAGAACTTACCCTCATAAATTTCAAATTTCCCTGCTCTATCATTTCTAACAACTTTTGGAACCCACATATTTTCATTTCGTCATTGATTTCTTGATTGATTCTCACAGCTTCAACGTACATTGAGAAATATTTCCGAGCACTACGAGCCAATGACTGCAAGTTTTCTTGACAATATTCATCAACAGGTTTTTCCTGCAAAATTTTAACCATGATAACGAAATTCAAGGAATCTAACAAGTGAAAGATGGGTACCTGTGTTTCTTTCTCAGCAGGTTCATCAAGCGTGTTGTGATAACGAGAGCTATGAGAATTGAAGATTTTCTTAGCAAAGAACCTGATCATCCGATTACCAACAGAGTACTTTGGCATTTTTTCTTTCAACCGTCTCTGAGCCTTCTTATTGGAATATACTGAAGACAACAAATCATTTTCAAAAAAATCGTTGTTTTCCATAAGTGCTGAGCTGAAAACATTTTCTTTTTCATATACTTCCAGGAGATTCTCGAAGAACTTTTTGGCTACCATTCTCTTCAATTTAACTGGATTATAAGTATTATAGCAGAATATTGCTTCATATTTCGTTTTGTTATTTTCTTCAACTAACGACGATTTCACATTTTCATCATCAGTGGATTCAATTACAGTTATATAACTCCCGCACAAATTTATATTACTGATGACAAACTCGGACATAAGTATTTTCTGAGCGAATTCCTCATCCACATTTGGATCTGTCATTGATACAACAGTCTCTAAAGAGGGTGTAAGCGCAAGACATCGGAACGACTTTGAATATTCCACTGCATCAACATCTCCTTCTTTCTCTCGAACCATTTCATCTGGTTTCTCATATATCAAAGATATTTCATTGTTGCCCTTCTGATTATCACTGAACAATTCGTTTTTGGCCTTCAGATCAGAAAAATTATCAAAATCAGGTAGGCAATCGTACTTCATGATTGGTTGACTATAGCTTTGCTGCATCTTCTTCTTGTCAAAATATGGTTCACTTCCGAACAACTTCGCGTTAGGTCTGTTCATTTTAGAAAGTAACATGTGCAGAGGTATTTCTTCATAAACTTCATGAGCATCAATGTTCACTTGGCTGTGTACTATCACTTTCTGAGCATACTCCTGGCATTTTTTCATCATTCTCAGGTAAGTGGACGATTCAGCAGGAGAGCCCCATTTGTTGTCACATAATACCAGGTCACTCTGTGGTTGAAGTAAGGCGGCAATTTTCGGTCTTTTGAAGAAATTCGCGAAACTCGAGCTGTTTTTCGATGTGCTGCCATAGCCACTTTCTTCCGAACTAGGCGATTCGATCACATTTTCACGGCACAACTTCGTAACGGTTTCTGGATACTTATACAAGTATGTGTCGCTTCTCAAAGAGAATCCTAGAATAGCATTCATAGGTCGCTCGATCCTTTTTAACACATCTTTTTCGTTAGTTACTCCACTTGAGTCTGATTGGTACAAGTACTTGAAAGAGTTCTGCGACTTGAGCACTGGACAACTCGTATGACTAGTCAGAATAGTTTTTTTAACTGTCGAGATTGCAGAAAGTCCTTCACTTGAATGCAATTCAACTTCTTCTTCTTTATTGCTGCGTGTTTGGGAATTATTGTATATCTCCTCATCAGAGTCCGTTAAAGCTTTCTGATCAGCATGATCATCATTTATTCTCTGGAAATCATACATAGATTTCTGATGATAGAATGGATTATCTTCAGCGCCAGGTGACATCAAAGATTTACACAGACTATCTACAAAATTCACAAAGTTTGGTTGGGATTTACAAAATTCACAACTCCTGATGAAACCCAAAGACTTGTGATCGTCTACAATGAACTTACTTTGAACGGCAAATAGACTTTGATGATTTTCCATCATGTCTTTACATAGACCAAGAATTTGTGTTTCTATTATTTTTTTCTTAAGGTCCGAAATAGAATACAAGTAATTATCAAATGTCTCCCCAGGGAACAAACATCGCTGAGTTTGTGGAATTGGAGAAAAGATCGGTATTTTCTTTGATGGATATTCAAATGTCTGAACCGAACTGGAATCATCTTGCCTAGTTACAATATCTTCTCTTGGTCTACTCTGAAAATTATCCACTGTTAAAAATCTCACTTCGAACACCTGTGGGGCTAAGCTTTTGTTTTGCACCTTCCCTCTTTTCTTCATCTTTTTCCTGATAATTTCATCATAAATTTTTCTTTTGTGATATGAACTCACGTCAGCAGTTTTGTAGTCCTTAGTTAGAAAGAAGGTGCTGGTGTGGGCATCGCTACTGATTGATTTTCCAAAATAACGATCCAAAGATTGGGCATTCGACTTTGAACTAACATCACCTTTAGTATCATTCAGAAACTTGCGCATACACACCAAACTGGTGATCTGACTTTCTTCGGTGTTCAAGTTCAGGTTTCTGAAACTTATTTCGGATTGGGATTTTTTCAAGCTGTTGAACTTACCGCTTTTCCCACTTGATGAATGATACCATTTGGTTTCATTTATTTGTGGTTTTTGTCTGACAAATGTATGAGCAGTAGCACTTCTTTTACTGCTGTAACGGGACTCGGTTCGCAATTGTTTTCCACAATTTTGAATTCGAGCATCATTAACATCGAGAGATTTTCTAACAACTGATTTACAAGCACTAATGTCGCAGACATTGTTAGGTGCTTTGCTAGACTTTGGCTTTGAATCAGGAGCATTATTTTTTAGCTTTCGTATGGGAACTTTACTAACATCAGTCTTTTTTTCAGTCCAAATTGTTTTCTCATCAAACTGATTCATCTTGCCGTCATATTTCATCTCTTTGTAAGGTATTGGCGGCTTGGATTTATCTTGTGCAATATCACTTTCTTGTCTTTTGTATTTCGTAGGATTTGGTGTCGGTTTAACATGTTCACTTTGTTTGTTTGTCAAGATACTTTTTTCTTTACCTCGTTTTTTCGGCTGAATAACATTGCTCATTTCTGCAGCTATTACTTCCGGATTGTTCACTACTACTTCTGCGGTATCATTAGCTTCCTTCACATCCACTCCCATATCAACTTTTTTCATTATGATACTTGTTTCTTCATTCACCTCAACACCGATTTCTATGGTTGAACTTCCTTCAGCAACAGTTTTTTTAGCTAAGTTTATTTCGGTGCCCACATCACAAGTTTCGAATTTTTGAGTCATCATATCCACAGGATCTTCTTTTCTTAATGTTGATTTTTCCTGTGAGTTCAGTAAATTTTCTTGGGAAAAAAACGTGGATTTATCGATTTTTTTCCAATAATCTGACTTTTGTACACTAGAACCACATTCATTATACTTTTTCTGTGATTTAGCCAACACTTCTTTATTTACAAAGGTTTTATGATAATTGGTGATAGCCATCACTGGAGTACTTGAGTACTCGTCTACTTTTTGAACAAGTCCATTCCAATAATCCATATGGTTTTGGCAAACAGGTTCTTCCTTTATTTCTTCCTTGCTCATATTTGTACAGAAAATCGCAGGCGAACACCAGTGCTTCGAAAAATAGTCCAACCTTTGTGGGGCTTCACACTGAATTTTTTCTAGTTTAGCGAAAATTTTTCTGTTCAGAAGTTCTTCAATTCTCGCATCATATTCCTCTGTAGACATCTTGGTGTGATTGTAAACTTTTTGCTCTTGGAATAAGTTGTTTCTTCTCGAAGTTGAAGGACTGTTGTAAATGTTCGATTCATCAAATATCGTATTATTCCTGCGTGAATATTCGATGTAACTTACTTGATCACTGAACGTACTAGTTTTTGTTGGATCCTTAGTTGAAACCAGAGAGTTATATGATAAATGAATGTCAGATTTAGATGCTAGATTTGTGGATTGATAGTTTCTATTCTTGTAAATATGATCGTACCTAAACATAGGATCAGGTAGAAAGTATCTCGGATTGTTATTTCCTTTGGCTCCAGTCTCACTTCCCCAATATTCATAGTCATGAAATTGTCTGGGCTTCATATCAGGCGGATTATCGTTACCGAAAAGTTTTTCAGGGAGTCGAGTTGTATCACCACATTCCATCTTTGATTTCATACTACACTCGGAACTACTGCTGACTAGATCTTTAGCTTTGAAATATTTGCATTGCACTTCTGGAGACAAAGATGCGGAATATTCAGTTGTTATTTGTTGAACGGACTTCAAATTAGTATTGATAGTTTGGATACCGAGGTTTTTACCGATTGAATTATCTTTCTTTAACACAGGTTCATTCGTCGGTTCATGTTCTAATGCTTCTTTCACTGTGTCTTTTGAGTAATCTTCTGAATTATCTGAAATGAATTTGCAACACTCACTAACAATACTCTTATCTCCTGATGAATGAACGTTATTTGAAGGGGTGCAGTTAGTTCCGTCGACTGAATATTTATAATATAGCTTGAATCGTTTCGTTTTCTTCTTTCTCTCAAGTGCTTCTTCCAAACCAGTTGAATATTTTGTATAGTCTCTCATCTGAGAAGGTATTCCTATTATAGACACTGTTTTACATTCCAACTTTCGACTTTTATCCCTCAAAGCCTTGCCGCTTTCCAAATTTGGTGGTTCAATCCCTTCAACCCGAAAATTATCACATCTTGCTTTTGGAAAATCACTTTCTTCTATTGGAACTGCTGGAATGCGAGGTTTGTTTTTTCTTTCTCTCTTCAATACTTTCAGTTCATCTTTGGATCTCTCTGATTTTTCGTGTTTTTCATTTTTTGGCACCATAGAGTGGCCCTGCTGAGATATTGAATGTTGTTTAACTGGAGCTGTATGACGTGTTTCTTCATGTTTCTTCGGAGGTGATGAATGCTTCGCTCTTTTGGTGTCGTTTGGGGAGTTGTTCCTTGCCAATGGTGCCCTTTGGCTTTGAGGTACTTCGGGTTTTGAGGTTTTTGATGAGCTCCGTCCATGATCACGACGTTTACCGGAAGAACTGCGAATAGGACTATCGCGTTTTCTTTTTGATTCTGTGGGAATGCGATTATTGATATTTTCCTCAAATTGCTTACTTTCAAGAGTGATCTTATGAGTGGATGATTCACGATGTCGACTTTTTGTTTTTTGTCTCGGAGGTTTTTGCTCTGGATTTCGCGCATCTCTCTGTCTATGACCCTTATCAGTGTCACGTATATCTTCTTTATTGTATTTGTCTCTACTAGAACTCTTCTTTTCCTTCATCTGCTGGTCACGAGGTTTTTTTCTGCTCTCCATTCTCAATTTTGTATTTTCTGTTTTTTCACACGTGACATCCGCGTTAGTGTCTTTCACTTTGTTTATACTTGTATTTGCATGAAGAATTGTTTCAAGTTTTTTGTCAATAAGATTTTGTATTCTGATGAAGTAACTTTTGAGATCATCCTCTATTTTTTCTTGGAACTGACTTTGTGACGAATGTGATATTTCTTTATTATTTTCGATAGACGATTTTTTCCGTCTTGATCGGCTTCTCATATCTTCACTAGTTTTTTTGTGACTTTTATGTTTCTTATGCTCATAGCTAGATTTAACTTCAAGGACTGGCACTGCTTGAAATTCATCTACGATGCTTGTTTTTGATTTTTTCCTTTTGTGAACATTTACCTTCACCATTTCTGGTACGAGAGAATTTTTTACATCAATGATTTCACCGCCATCCCCTTTATATTTTTTGCACGCAGCTTTACTGGAAATACCTTTCTGATCATCTGGAGGACTGTTTCTTACTCTGTGTTTCTTGCTGTGCGCATTTTGGGATATGGCTTCGAACTGTCTTTCTTTAGGCTGAAAAGGGCTACTCGTTTCAATATGACAGTAAAATAACTGTTTATCTCCACTATCATGCCTTCTTGATCTTTTATCACTCATTGGCCGTATGTTTTTCTGCTCGTGGCGGCTATACGTTTCTTTCCTCTGTTGCAGATTCGTGGAATTTTCTTTTGCCTTTTCAACGTGAATGGTCTTTTCTCGACGAAGGGCGTGTCTATTTTTATTTTTAACATTGTAGTGTTCTGAGGACCGTGACCTACGATTTTGAATTTCTGGAGTTCCACTCAAACTTTTTAGATAGTTCTCAATGTTAGTGAAAACGCTCTCACGGTCCTTACGTTTTGTTTTCTTGCATTTATCCTTTGATTTGATATCCTTCAAGTCTATATATTCTAATTCGGATATTTTCTTACCCTTCGGAATTTGTTGTTCGAATATATCGTGTTTTCTACTTTTTTCATTCGGTATATGCTTGTGGTGTCTATTCTTTTCAACTTTATCTTTTGATGTCCTATTTTTAGTCCTGATGTAATTTCCATTTGTTCCTGTAGCTGATGATCTCTTTTCATCACTTTTATTCATGCATTTCAAGGTTTGTTTATGTTCGGTATTCTTATTAGGTGGGTCACCTTTCTTGTACTTTCTATGCATATCATAACTTATTCAACTTTCCGAAAATGTTACACAACCAAAAATTTTTCAAAAAATATTTGTGACATGTAATGCCAAACATGACAACAAAAAGTGAAATGAATTGTTACTTTGATGTATTGAAAGGGTGTTTTATAAAAAGAATGCTAAAAGAATTATATTATACCAATAAAGTTTATTACAACAGTTTTATACACTTTTTACAAATATTCAAAGATTTAAGAAAATATAATGACTTGCACCTCTATCAAAACATAACCAAAAAATGGAGATAAATAAAACAGATTCAGAGCTTTATACATAGGAAGTATATTGTATAAACATACAAAACAATTGAATTAAAATATTGAACCTAGGAGGTGGGCCAAAAATATAATATTCAATCTTATCAATCTTATCAATATTATTTCATACCATTCAAGAGTCAATTAGGATTAACATTTTCAATCTCACCAGTTGGGGCTACTAGAGCTTGAGATCTATGTCAATATCGAAATTCATTTAAGGCTGTGACCTCTTTTTTTGAAATTTGTCGAAAGTTGTGTGTCTTTCAAGAACAAATACATTAACTCATGAACTCGATATATGATTAGACTTGTGTTTTTACTTTGAATGTGAAACTTTACGTGTAGTTTCTACATAAATAGAGAATATATCGCAGGAAGATGCCAAATGAAACGAAAAGAAGAAGAATATCGAATGCTTATCAGTTCTACCAACCTTGACCTCACGTCTCAGTAGTGTGATTTGGTGGAGAATCAAAATATATAAGCACTCATTGTTAGATTATTATATTTTTTAATGAGAAAAGTAGTAGGTATTAGAAGAGAAACAAAATATATCGATCACAGACAGAAATTCAGTAGATGACGTAGGTAATAAAATTAATAACAAATCTAGGATGAACACTTCAGCTCACCAAAAGTATTTAACTTCAGTACAATAGAAATAATCTCAAGAGCTGGATGATGTGTAATTATTAAAGTTAGGTTAGAGTATAGTGTAATACATAAATTAGGTGTTATATAGAGAAAAATCATTTTGTATTCCTTTTTATGAGGCTGTGTGAAAAATATTTCCTGAATGAATAAACCAATTTTTGATTATTAGAATAAAGTCTTCTGACAACGCTGCCATCGGTGTCTTACCAACGGATCAGAAAATCAGTTTCATATAAAAGATACTTTCATATCATTCCGTATCTTGGTTATAACACTTTACTAATATATTCATGAGTATAGTATCGCAAAATATGATGTTTCGTAATATTTAGTTTAAAATTATTCCACACAATTACCATAATATAAATTATATAAAAATAAATTCAAACATTTAACGTGGGTAATTTATGGTCCACCTCGAAGGTCATCAACATCAGCATAAACAAAGTCACTATATCGTCATCATGTAATGCTATACCATCTTCGATTGCTTCCGATTTAGTTTATCTAACGACTCAACCGAATGATCCGATCCTGAACTCATCATTGACCCTTGAAAAAAATTGAATAAATATAAATGACACCAAAATTGACAATTGGAATTAGTCCAAGACAGAAAAAGAGGTAATTTCTTGGTATTCTCTATAATATAAACAATATTACTGGAAGGAAATTATATTCGAGATTTTCTGACCTAAGTGTACACGACGAGCTGAATCGATATGTATACGCGAAACTACTGAGACAATGTGCTGTCATTTCAGTATGGTGTAAATCAGGTTGACCACCATAGTTGCCAGACTTCAGTAATCAATTTCTATGAGAAATTTCATAACTGTCAATTGTCATGCTATTCCAATATTTATGTTTCGTCTATACTCCTCATTTCATCAGGTATTCGGTATTGAATTTAGGAAACAATCCAATTTCCACCCATAATATGGGTTGGATAACTACGTCCTTTTAGTTACCATTGCTAAAATATGATGTAAGAGCAAAATTTCTCGAATCATCAGATTTATCGGTGAATGTTGTAAGCCCGTACTTGCGTAAAACGGCTCGCATTTTTAGATAGCGTAAAGGACTTACGCCATGAAAATGGTGGAGGAGTCAAAACATGTGTCTTCACGATTTTTTTCTGAACTCCAATGTGATCGCACGAAAAAAATTGAAAATATGTATTTAGTGAATTTTCATATACTATACAGAGGAAAATTTGAATGTTGAAAATTTACTCATTGTTTCATTAATTTGTTTCATCTGGTATAATTTTCTGGAGGTTCAGAACAAACCCTACAACTTTTGCATTCGAAGTTTTTCTCTATCTTCAATAATAAACCCTGTAGAAGCTGTTTAAATATTCGGAATAACCCTGTACATAGAGCATGAGTTTAGTATCAGGAACCTTAATCAAATTTTCTTTTTGCAATAGGGTTTCCGTGAATTAATAAATAAATTAAATAAACAAACTCATGTGCACTCACCCTTCTGACTCCTCCCGTTCGCCGTACGCCCCGCCCTCTGCCACTCCCTCCTCTCCACCCTCTCATACGGACCGTACCTTCTCGCATCTGGCGGCGACGCCCCGTATTCGCTATCGTACGCCGGCGAAGGCGTGCCCCTGTCGTACGGCGAGAAAGCCGACGAATCGGGCGAGTACCTGGCCCCGCCCATCCGCGGAGGCGTGTACCTTGCCCCGCCCATCGGAGGAGGCGAATACCCGACCCCGCCCATCGGCGGAGGGGGGGAAGAGAGCCGGCCTAGCGGCGGAGGCCGGTGGTCGCGCGGGAACATGTTCGGCAGGAAGGGCAGGTCGTGTGGGGGAGGGGGCAGGAAGGGAGCACCCGGGGGAGGGGGCAGGAAAGGCGGGGGCAGGCCGATGAGGGGGGCGGGGGGCGTGTTGGGGAGGTGTTCCCTGGAGGTGAAGAGCATCGGCGGGGAGGCGGGCGAGTCGAAGGAGTTGGTCGACATGTTGAGGTCGCCGTTTTGGTCCACCGGCGATTGTAGTCCTATAATAGTGAAATGTATGTGTTCACTACCTTGATCGAGAGAGAGAGGACAGTTATCTCCTCTTCCAGCTTCCTCTTCAGTACTTCAGTGCTACCAATGTTGCCGTATCAAAATACCATGTATCCCATATTCGATCGATAACTGGGAGAGATACAGAGTCGGTAAAATTACGAAAGTTTCAGCAAATTCGATCGTGATTCAGAATCCGTTGAGAAATCTTGACTAGCTTCAGTCATTTCTCCTATCTCTCCCAGTTATCGATCGACTTCAGGATTCACGATATTTTAATGCGGTCACGTTGGTAGCAATGAAGTACTGAAGAGAAGGATGGAAGAAGAGATAGCTTTCCTCTCTATCGTTCAAGGTAGGAAGAGCTCAATTGGGGAATAGGTGAAAAAACTGAATGAAGTTCATTACGATGAGGTGAACTTTTAGGGCTTTCAGATGATGTTCTTTGAAATATGGTAATATTTATTTTCAAAGAAACTGTGCATTCACATTATGTTTCCTGAATCATTTCTATAACTTGGTTTTACAAATGAAGTGATTAGAAGTATAACTACAACTTCCTATCAAGCTTAAGATGTGGGACCTCTTTTAGTTTCTCGCGAATAACCTAAATATCACATAGAATTTTGCGTCGATTGAAATTCAGACACTGGAGATTACTCATAAAAAAGTGAGATAAATGACAAAACAAGAAAAAAAACAAGGAATGAAACCCTAGAAATTCATTATTTGGGTCAGTAGAACTCAAGAACTGCTTATTATATTTTGGTAAGTTTGGTTGGTGATCATTTATCATCCTCCTCTTTATAGGAAAACTTCATTGATATTGAAATCGTGAGATTGAAATTGAGATACAGGGCGAAATTGAAAGTGTTGTATTTTGGGAAAAATCTAAGAAGCTTATTTTGAAGCGCTCGTCAATAAAAATATATCTACTCAGTGTGTTCAAAAAGTCTAAATGGCTATGCATTTCAAACCGCTCGTCAATAAAGAAATATAAGTCATTATGACTTACTATTTTGATTTCTTTCTGTCAAAGTAATCCTGTTCCTTAATTGCGCTGCTTCCTGTCTAGCATCCTCCAATTTTCGTTCCGTTTGTCTTGCATTCACCCAGTTTTCATGTACTTTCTTTTCCAACATAGATATTTGACTCTTCAAGTCGATTTCTTGAGAGACAATTTCCTGTTTCAATATTTCGTTTTGAGATCTGAAAAGGGACATAAATGAAAATTGACCAAATTGCACAGCAAATATGCTACTCACTTATAGTTTTCGATTTCTTCTTGCATTAGTTTTATTCGTTCGGTAGTAGATGTGGCCTCGCCTTGTTTTGCTTCCCAGATTGATTTGTACTTCAAGATATCCCTAAAATTATTCAAATCAAGTAACATTTATTTATAGACTAAGAGCTCAGACATAACTTATTTTTCAAAGGACAAAATGTGGGGCATCGAGTGGTGTCCAGTGGTGTTTATAGGTACGGTCAAAATACCAGAGTTGAAAGGTAGAAAAGCTTTACTTAAATTGTAAATGAGTTATTGATATGTTCCAAGATATTATCACGAAATGATATTCAACACTGCCAGACACTTTTCGGCGGCCATAACTCCGCCAGACGCTTTAAAGTTCCCAAAAATATTTTGTTATCTTCTCAAAACAATCGATGAAACTTTAATGTTCTAAGAACGTTCTAAAACAATAGATCGAGAAATCAATACAACTAATATAAACTGGTCGAAAAAGGTAAGGATATTGTATGTAAAGACATTTTTCTAGAAAAAATGTGGTATGGAGTAAAGATTATTGTCTTCTTGCTATGAAGATATATTTCTAGAATGAATGTAGAAGCTGCATATTCTTCTGTTGTATTTTAAACATGCATAGACCTACTTTAACATAGCCATATTTTTTCGACCAGTTTATAAGGAAGAACCGGACAGCAGCTGTCAGTCAGCTAGTTATTAATCAGTGTCAGAGAGACACTCGTATACCGCGTGTTATAAATTGTTTTACATAAATAGTAGTGATAAGTTTTGTAATAAATTAGTGTTCCTGCAAGTTGAATAAATCCTTTCGAAATGAATAGTGTTGTTCACTTCTGCACACGAATAATAACGTAACAATATAATGATTAAAATAGTATCCTGAACAACATGTTACTATGAAAATGAATATAAGTGAAGTTACAATGGTTTTTTCATGAGCTTCAAGGCGTCTGGCGGAAGTTATAGCCGGCAGAAAGTGTCTGGCAATATTCAATATCATTTCGTAATATTATGAAAATCAATCATTAGAATTTAAGAAAAGTTCGGCCTATTTTTTTCACCTTTCCACCCTGGCATCTGTGTATTGGCCATCTGATCAACTTAGCTCATATGCTGGCATTCACTGTACATATAAACACTACTTGAAGCCTCACATTTTGTTTTTTAGAAAATAAGTTATGTCTGGGGGCCTGGGCTCTTGGACTATTAGGAATATGTTGCATAAAATTAGGTTTACCCTTGTAATTCTTCTTCTTTTTTCTTGAAATAATTATTCAAAACTTCCAACTTCATGTTAGCTTCTACTTTCTCTTTTTCAGCATCTCCATATTTTTTCGTCAGCGAAAGATTATCTTCCGTAACCGCTTGACATTTTTTCTCGTAAGACGATTTAGCTGCTTGTTCTTGTTTCAGTTGGGCAAGATAATTTTCATTGTCGATTTTCAATTGGTGATATTCTGCTTTCATTGATGTGGCATCAAGCAGCGAATGAAGGGCAGCCGTATCATTTGACATAGATTTTATGCTTTTCAGGCTATCTTTCAGAATATTGTATTCTTTGATTCGTAGTTCTGCCTGCCTTTGAGAATCCGTTAGTTGAGCTTTCAGTGTCTAAAAAACATAATTTAGCAGAAGGTTGCAATTTAATTGCCATACACAAAAAAAAGAAATGTTATCGAATAATAACTTTTTTCATTTCCGATTGATTGAAGTCATATGATATGTATTATGAGCGGCTATTTGAGTAAACAAAGAAATACCAACCGCTATTCTGTTTGATTATATAAGTGTCAGACTTCGACATGAATCTGTCACTGAAAGTGTCTCATTTTGCATAGCAAATCAATACAAACAATTCCACAAATGTCTTTTTGTCAGTGGAAAAACTATGAGTTTTATGCGACTATCCCAACTCTCGTGATCGCCTAAATTTAACTTGAATAAAATGTAGAAAACTATATAGAGAAGTATATTTTATGTTGTTCATGTTTAATTTTCCTAAATTTCACTGGACCATGATAAACAGACAGAGTACTGTTTTCTTGAATTCATCTCGAACGACTTGTACTTTTATTAAATTAGACCACATCAACAATAATAATCATGAAAAAATGTAATGTGAATTGTCCATATTCAACTTGGAAAGAGTCAGACATCTTCATGTTTGATAAATGAAGGGTCCAAAAAGTATTTGCCGCTCTTATATCCAATAAAAAAAAAACATACATCATACAGGACGTGGGAAGAACAGTTTTGGATCTGATGGGAATAGAATAATTTTGACAGGGTGCCGATTTTATGCACATTTGACATTTCACACTTTGTAGCCAACCTCAGAAATCTGTAACCTAATAATATGGTGAATTTCTTACCTGGATATCATTTGTCAAAATCTCAATTTTGACAACCCCTTCATTGTACTTTTGCTGATAAACTGCAATTTCTTCTTGCAAAGACTTCTGCTCCTGTTCCTTGTCTGTTTCAATCTTCAAAATATTTTCAACCATCTCATCTAACTTCCCTAGTAATTCGGCTATCTTGTTTTTACTAGCTTCTAATTCACTTTGCAACAAAAGATTTTCTGCTTCTTTAACACCCAGCATATTATTCCCCTCTTCTATCGTCATCTTTTGTTCGAACAGTTGTCTCTGCAGCTGCTCCACATTCTCCTTCAATCTCTCACTGCCATCTGTGGGATCTAACATCTCGGATATAATCCTGTTCAGCTCCATACCAACTTCTGTGGATGTTTCCAGTTCTTTTTCCAGCATTTCAATTTGCTGTTCCAATGCCTGTTTTCCCTCCACTGCTTGCTGAAGGTTGAAAACTTCCATTTCAAGAACCTGCTTGGACATTTCCATTGCTGTTAATTTTTCATTCAAGAGATCGTAAGTGTCACTGGAAATCGTATTATTAATTTCTGTGATTTCCAAGGGTCCCCTTTCCTGAAGCATTTCATTTTCTTTCAATGAAATCAGTAGCTCTTTTTCTAACTGATTTATTTTGGCAATCAATGGCTTCAGCCTTTTACTCTTATCCATCGCCAAATATATGAAGAGGAAAATAATGCAAGATATCGCAGAAGTTGAAAGGTACAGAAACAAATCATAATTGAAAGAAAAATCACTGCTGTGGAAAATGCTACCTTGTAAGGGGGTTTTACAAGTCTCAGTATCACAGTAACCGATTTCAACCTCTTGTGATTCTGCAAAAGGAGAAGACATTTTTTGTTCTGCATTACTTAAAGGTGTCGAATTTTTGTCCAGTTCTTCACTGTTATCACTGTTGAAAAAGCCCAAAATACTTGAGTATAATGAAGGTGATTCATCAACCACTTCACCATTAGCAAGGGACTCTTCAGGTAATATATTTCTCTCATTTTCATCTGCTTTCTCATCTATGCTCCACTGTTCAGGAGCTGAGTTTAATGCAGCAATATTTTCATTGCTAGACTGGTCTGGTTCTGTTTTTTTTTCAGTGTCATTGATTGCAGAATAAATCATACCATGGCTACTTTCCATATTCTCAGATGTTTCTTCTATTCCTGTACTGTTACTGTTTGTGAAAGCTGTATCAACATCTGGATATTTTGGTGTGACAATTTGTGGAGACATGTTCAACTCATCAGTTTCACTGAAAGAATTACCTGAATCATGAAAAACCTGTGGACCTTGAGTGTTCTCAGTGTTTTCCTGTGAATCTAAAACAGCTTCTTCAGAGTTATTCAAGCTAACTTCTGATGCTTGAGATGCAGCCTTGATGAAATTGTAGACGATTGAACTTGGGCCTGGTAAATCATTTTCTACAGGGGACGACTTTTCACTATTTGTTTTTTCTAGACTGCTTGAATCAGTTGTTACATCTTGTGAATCGTCTGATGAACCCTGACTGTTTGGAGCAGCTGCCACAATTTGTACATCTTCTGATAGGGTTTCACTATCAGAAATTACAATTTTCATTTCATCTCCAGAATTTTGTGGTAGTGTTTTTGGAGATGATGCTTCAGCTTCATCAACAGGTGTTTCTGTACTTGGTGCAATTTTTATTTCATCTCCAGAATTTTGTGGTAGTGTTTTTGGAGATGATGCTTCAGCTTCATCAATAGGTGTTTCTGTACTTGGTGCAATTTTTATTTCATCTCCAGAATTTTGTGATAGTGTTTTTGGAGCTGATGCTTCAGCTTCACCAACAGGTGTTTCTGTACTTGGTGTGATGGGTTCTTGAGCAAGGGCTACTTCATCTGGTATTGGTTTCAAATCCTCCAAAGGCATTTCAGTACTTAGTTTCGAAGGTTCTGGAGTAACTGTCACCTCCAAAGGTAGTGCTTCAGCTTCTTCAAAAGGTACTTCAGTGGTGTCTTGAATATTTGGTGGTAAGGTTACTTCAATAATAGGTGTTTCGACCTCTTTTATTTTAGTTTCAACAATAGGCAACTGAGATGTAGGTTCTATTGGGACAGAATTTTCTTTTTCGATTGCAGCTGCATTCAATTCATTTACTTGAGCATTATTCTTCAATTCACTGTCTTGGATTGTTTGATCTGCATTGGGTGATGAAAGATTTTCATTAGGTGTTTGTGTTTCGTCTTGATCGTCCTCATCTTCTTCATCTTCTTCATCATCAATATCAAACTCTTCATCATCCTCATCGACCAAATCCTCTGAATCATTATTCATAAAATTAGAAATGGAAGAGAATGCCTTCTGAACCAATGAGTCAGCTTTCTCATTATTATCGTTTGTGACAAGATCCTCTGGCAGAGCATCCTTTGGATGATTGGTCTCTGTGTTAGAATTCACTGCATTTACTAATACATTTTGGACAACTTCAGAGACTACATCTTCTGACATAGAAGCTTTTGGATTCATTGTTTCATCGTTAGAATGTGATGCATTGACTGAAAGTAATTGTTAATTCAATTCTAATGAAAATAATGGTATATCAATATATTCACTTTTTTCTCAATTGTAAATTAATATTTTAAAAGATTATACAAAATGAGGTGGTTAAAACTTTCGCTTTAACTACCGATCACATACAGAAATAATCAAACGAAATTACAAACGAAACGAAAAATCAACAAAAATGCGATACATTCATATTGAACTAGAAGTCAAAACCAAATTCATCGACCACAGGTGAGAGCAAACATTGGTTTGAATAATGACTTCTTAATAATACTAAGTAAAAGATTATTACTACTTATTCAAAGTGGAAATGACGTAATATGTTGACAGCCAATGAATTTTGAATATACAGGGTGTTTCTAAATGTCATGAACATATTGAAAGAGGTGATAATATGAATAAAAATTATAAGTTTTATTCGGATAATTGGCAACCGCTGAACAAAAATCGAAAACATTCCAATAAATTGGTGAGACCCTGTGGGCAAATGAAAAAGTGATTAGGGAGACACTATCAGACCCGTGCTGGGCCGCCAAGACACCAGGACGTATCCCGGTTTCGCGGTTTCGCCCTATACAGCCTGGACATTTTTTTATCAATGGAACTGAGATATGAGCTTCATATCTACATAAACAGGACTTAAGAGTAGCATATTGAACAAATTATACGTTGGGAAGGTTTATCAAAAATAATAAAGACAAAAATTCAAAATTAGAAAAATTAGGGGTATACAAACTCAACTGTGGATCTTGTCCTAAGGTATACATCGGCCAGACAGGTCGTACGTTTAATTAGCGCATTCATGAACATAAGATGCATTTTTTGAAAAAGAAAACAAATTCAACATACGCCAACCATATATTAGAAGAAAACCATAATTTTGATGACAATTTAGAAATTCTAGACGTAGAAAATCGACAAACTTAAAAATTCTGACATTTCACTTCACGATTTCTTATATGAAACCAGAATTAGTGGGATCTAGTCCAAGAACCGGCTGCAAATTTCGACCGTCATCTGATAACGAAATGATATACAGGGTGAGTCATTGAAATGGGAGAGTGAGATAACTTATTATTATAGGTCACCCTGTATTTTATTGCATTTTCGGATTCTCCTTTGTGAGCTGATTCCATCAATACATCACACTCGGGATCTAGCGGGAATGATTACAGAGATATAGGGTGTTCAAAATCGAGATTTTCCAACTCTAGGATTTTTTTGTGCCGAAACTATTGGCGTATCAAAGTTGTACTTTTTATTATAGGCCACCCTGTATTTCATTGCATTTTCGGATTCTCCTTTGTGAGCTGATTCCATCAATACATCATACTCGGGATCTAGCGGGAATGATTACAGATATATAGGGTGTTCAAAATCGAGATTTTTCAACTTTAGGATTTTTTTGTGTCGAAACTATTGATTATTGGTCAGAACGGCTTACATGTCCCCATCTTAACTTTTGATTCACTATCTACTGATATTTAATTGGGACGAATACAGGGTAGTTCAAAATTCAGAATTATGAACCACCCTGTATTCGGTCGAATTAAATATCAGTAGATAGTAAATCAAAAGTTAAGATAGGGACATGTGAGCCTTTGGCCAATAATGAATAGATTCGATACAAAAAAGTTTCAATGTTGAAAAATCTCGATTTTTAAAACCCTATATCTCTGTAATCATTCTCGCTAGACACCAGGTGTGATGCAGGTTTTCAGGTTTCGAGATTTCGAACAGGTGCAATTCAACTAGAAACAGGCTCAGGTACTTGGATTTTGATCAAAACCAGTCTAGTAATGAAGCTGGTCAAAAACACTTCATTACAGCGTACCTACTGTATAGCATTGCGTTCATGCACTTTTTTTATGTTCTGGTTCTCACGAAAAGGGATATCCTGTGATGTTCAGAGAACAACGTGAGAACCAAGGGAAATAAGGTAGGAATTGGTGTTCTGTTCTGCTGGTCTCCAAGGTGACCACGAAGGGGTGCGAAGCCTCAACTCGACGGGTTAATCTCGCGGGGACTGCCAAGGGAGGAACAATTGTTGATATTCCAGAAGAGCATCGTCCATGAAAATATCTATGAAATAGAGCCAGATCGCCAACTTTTCTAAGGTCGACGTTTGAATTCGAAATAGCCTGAGTTTGACCCTTAATGTTCAATGGTACAATAATTGTCTACCAGTGAGTAGAAAGACCAATAGGTACCTAACTTCTCACGATGTTCTTCGTACGTTTCGTGCGTTCCAAGATATAAAAACAAATACAAAAAATTATACATAGTGTCATAAGATTCTCGCTTTTGTAGATAAACTTGATATACCTACCCCAAGGAATTAAGAGTTCTGCTGTATAATTCAACAAACAACGAAACGAATTGCACCATCATCTCAAAATCCTCTCCTGGTTTATGTTCTCTTTCAGATTATTATGCTGAATGGCGCATAATACATTTCTTAGTTAACATAATCATTCATAAGTTCTACGACCGAAGATATTTTTATTTTCAAGTAATACCTATGCAAAAACAGTCTGATTGAGTTTGTTGATCTTCGGGAATAAACACAGAGCACGTGAAAGACTACACCGAGATCAACGTCTTCTAGCGGTGGGAAAAAATGTTTTAGAATGAGCATCACTGTATCAAAACACTTAGTAGTGGTTACGAGGTACTCTAAAATATTTTTTATGTATAGGTTTCTACAGAATGGAGATCCAATAACTTGGTAGATTTCGATGGATACAAAACACAAGCACGCCTTTTCTCCAGAAAAGCTGATCTCACTGTGCCCAACATAATCTTGTCAGGAGTAACCATACCTTTGAAGACGTCCATTTTGATGCTTGGTATCACTATCAGCAATAACCTTCCTTGGGAAAATCACGTGAGATCAATTGCTAAAAGAGCATCCCAAAAACTTGGTTTTCTGTTTCGGGCCAGGAGCTATTTCACTTCCAGTCAGCTGCTTATGATCTATAAGGCACAGATCCGACCTGTCCTGGAATACTGTTTCCATATTTAGAAAGCAGCACCCAAACATACCCTGAAACTGTTGGATTATCCAAAAAAGGGCAATTCGTCTCGTGAGTGATGCCTCGCTCACAAACCCACTCACTTCTCTGGAACATCAGGGAAAAGTGGGCGATCTGGCTATATTTTATGGAAATTTTCATGGACGATGCTCTTCTGAAATATCAACAATCGTTCCTTCATTGGCAGGCCCCGCGAGATTAACCCGTCGAGTTGAGGCTTCGCACCCCTTCGTGGTCACTTTGGAGACCTGCAGAACATCTCTTTCCAAAGACTCTGGAACACATTGCCAAGGGAGGTGTTCCCCGAGGCATATAACCTCCAGAAATTCCTACCTTATTTCCCTTGGTTCTCACGATGTTCTCTGAACATTACAGGATATCCCTTCTCGTGGGAACCAGAACATAAAAAAAGTACAGATATACAGGGTGTTGCAAAATTCGACCGACAACGCTTGACTGGTGATAGCCCTCGTGATTTCATGATCACTGAGATAGGGACATACGGTCTTCAAGTGTTATCAGCTCACAAAGGAAAATCAGAAAATGCAATGAAATACAGGGTGTTCCATGAGAAAAAGTATAGCTTTGATACGTCACGCATTTTTCAATCACCCTGTATAACGCGAAATATATTGGAAATGTGGTGGTCCAGAGTTATGGACCATCACAAAAGTTTCGTACATCTATTTCAAACAGCGAAGACGTTATCTCACTTTCCCATTTCAATTACTCACCCTGTATGTCCCAAAGACATGTAAAAACATTGTAGCTCATCGTGCCAATCACTATCCTGAGTAAAATGATTGAAAAATTGCACTTTCCTGTGCGGAAATTTGTACTAGATTTAGCGATTTGATAACGAGATGATAATTATGCCATTTGATTCCAATTGAATGGTAGATTTCAAAATACTACCTGTGCCACACCTTAGTCTGAGCCAAAACCTCCATTAAGCTAGCAGAACCACTTTGAATTTTTCAATTTTTTCTTCGGCCATAATTTTAGGCTAATTTAAGGCTAATTTATTACCCTATTGCCGAATTTATTGCTCTTCGATTTATGCAAAAAAACGTGGGTTCTGCTAGCTTAACGTTAAGCCAGCAGAACCACTTCGTAAATAAAAGTTCAATCACAAAACTAATTATACCATAATTTAAGGCTAATTTTAGGCTCCAATCCTAGCCTATTGCCAATTTTTTCGCACATTGTTTTTTTAAAAAAATCATGGGTTTTGCTAGCTTAACCGTTAAGCTAGCAGAACCAAATCTGAAATAGAAGGAATATAGAAATATTGAGTACACCATAATTTAAGGCTAATTTTAGGCTCTTCGTTGAACCTATTATCGATTTTTTTGAAAATCATTTTCTGCAAAAAATTTCCCAAATCCAACATGAACATGAGAAACCAGTAGCAAACCAAAAAAAACTTCAATCACAAACCTGATTGTGCCATAATTTCAGACTAATTTGAGGCTCTGATCCTAGCCTATTGCCAATTTTTTCGCACACTGATTTAAAAAAAAATCATGGGTTTCGCTAGCTTAACCGTTGAGCTAACATGTGAACATGACAAACCAATAGCAAACCAAACAAAGTTCAATCACAAAACTAATCATGCCATAATTTAGGGCTAATTTTAGGCTCTGACCCTAGCATATTGCCAATTTTTTCGCACATTGTTTTTTAAAACAATCATGGGTTTTGCTAGCTTAACCGTTGAGCTAGCAGAACCAAATCTCAAATAGAAGGAATATGAGAATATTGAGTGCACCATAATTTAAGGCTAATTTTAGGCTCTTCGTTGAACCTATTATCGATTTTTTGAAAAATCATTTTCTGCAAAAAATTCCCAAATCCAACATGAACATACATAACAAACCAATAGCAAACCAAAAAAACTTCAATCACAAACCTAATTATGTCATAATTTCAGGCTAATTCAAGGCTCTGACCCT